TGTTCATATCAATACAACTGACCATAGTACAGTTCGCCGAGAATTCCTAAAGTATTGCCTTTGGGGCTACTATCGCATGATGCCTCGTTTATATAACAGGAGTGGCGTACAACCTTGTACTTGGAGCTTGGAGCGTTTGTCCATCTTCTTCCTGGCTAGCAAATCACAGTTTCTCGGCAGCACTAAATCGTATAAATAAAAAAGTTCAGCAGGAGCCATCGACGATAGATGCCGTGCCGGTAATTCCGTTAAAAGGTCCGTTGGTAATGGTGAGCTTGCAATTCTTGTCAAGGTTGTACAGGACGTTAGGGCCGCCGTTAGGCATGAGTATGCCTCCATCACCGTTTGCCGCCGAGCACGCGCCGCCGCCTGCACCGTTTGAATCCGTAATCGTAACCATGCAGTTGGTCTTAGCTGGTGCTGCCTGTGTAAGGGAAAAGCACGCAGCGGCGAGGAAAAGAGCGAAGCGGGCCATCCTAAGGAAAAGTATGTCAGAACTATCATTCATCCGACATAGTGTGGCTCTAATGTGAGGAGAATTAGACTCACTTGGGGAATGTAGGTAGTATGTTGGAGGAAATAAGAAAACGAAGGCAAAGGTTTCAAAACTCGGTGAACTTTATGCTATTGGTAACAAAGATACCAAAGTAATGAACAGTTCTCTCCAAGAGGTTGAAGACACTTTTAATATGAAAGTCAAACTGAACCACAGCCCATAAGCCGCTTAATCAGCTTGTCGGACTCTTGTTCTCAGACCTCAAACACCGCATATTGTAATTAGAGTTAAATTCCACCCTACCCTGGTTTGACTGGTTTGAATATATTAGCAACTTACTCAAACCCCGCTATTGAATTTAAAAGCATACTAAGCAGACGATCACTACCTTAACAATCAGATCTCGGTCTTCCACCTTCCCCGGACTAATCATAGAAGCACAGCCAGCTAAAGCTCACGTCGTAGCATCACAACTTGGCTTACTTCAAATTGTTACCACGTCCAGCACTATTGCTATTTCTGGCAGAGGAGTTACGTTCGATGCCGAAATTTAACAGCGGCAAAATGACTTTGAAGTGACATTAGATAGATGTTTCCGGCAGCCCACTACCAATGTCCTTAGGACATGAATAAGGTATGTTGGTATACCTAGGTTGTAAATATCATCAACAGAGCGTTTACGGACTATTGGTGTTTCGCAAAATGCTTCTAATACAGAACAGTTCAGATCTTCCTTCATAATAACCAAACATGAAACTGTTTTGCTGCGCTTCACAGAGGGTCATCAATCTTTCGTTGATTTTCTGAGTAACCATGTCTTCCAAAACTCACCGTCTTCCTCTTTCTCTTTCTCCTCGATACCCTCCATTTTTAGACGCGGAAAAGCCCATCCCCGACAATCTCCTTCCATCACCGAAACCCCGCAGATATCCCTCCGTCCCGCTTCCTGATTCTTCGACTTCAGCTCTTGAGCAAGCATCACCGCCTCCTCTTCGGGAACACAAGCCTCGACAGCAATCCAATCCGTAGGATCATTCCCCAAAACCTCATTTCCAGAGTCCTCTAACCTACTCGGCCGACGAACCAGACATGTGCCCCCGGTGCACTTACAACGGCCGCATATCCCCGAAACTATCTTGTAGCGCGTGGAGAACTCGCATCGTACGCTTGCCAGCGTACACTGGAGACACTTGCCCGGTGTACAGTCTCTGTAGTTGATAGGTGTTTCTGTGGACTTCAGATCGGGGCTCTTTGGGGGGAGGATCGGTATCCCATCACGATACTTGAGTCGTGTTGGTGCCATCCCCTGTCTACCCTTAGTTGCACTACCGTTGTGTGGAACATTCAAGGCACCATGATACTGACCGTCAGTTCCAGTGCTCTTACCAACCCCAGAGGGGATTGACCCCCTTTCACTTGATAAATCTCCTGGCATTGGCGTTGATGAATTTGATGAGTGAAGTCAGTGTGACACTCTGGCGAGCCGAAAGCAAATATTGGGTATGAGCAGGTATCTCCGTTAAGACTGCCTTGTGTAGAAGACGTGGACTTCATAACAGCTGCCGAGGAAACCTGACATATAAATATTTTGGAAGGCCCCCGCGCCCATTGTGTGCGTATTGTGAGCTGCTCAATGTTTGACATCGTCTCAAACAAAGTTATGAACAAGCATTTACCAGATACTCTTTCAGAACCAGAGAACAATTCATCGCAAGACGCCTTCCAACAATAACAAAGGGGCAACTAAACTAATACAAAAGTGGTGTCCAAAACCAGTCTCATCACAAAGGTGGACTCTTTGTCACCATATCTGTCTATGTTGGGGCCTGGAACTCGATTCATAGAAAAAGAAGCAAAGCCTAAGAGTAAATCGAAGATTTGACCTGTAAGAAATATGGAAGCATTAATTGACAGTGGTTTCAATCTTAACAGACGGATGAACAGAAACGTACTTAGTTACTACTGTCGTATCAACTTTTCCAAAATCCCAGAATAAAAACACTCAATACAAGAAATCACAGCCGTTCGAACCTCTAGTCTCTTCCGCCCATCCTTATCCGCCCAGCTTAAATTCTATTCGTCGTAAACAAAGTACCGTAAATGGAAAATAACATAGACACAGAGGGTGTGGAATGAATGAACATCCCGGGTGCTAAAATGTCTAGGAGAATTCACGGCAATTTACCTGCCACTCACAAATCAAAAAATCACGAAGGCACATTAGTTTGGCTGGAACGTTTTCTCAGTTTTGACACTACTAAAACTTTGGCAGATTCCACATCCGCCAGCAATACCTCAAAAGGGTGTACAACACCCATACTTCGTGTCCAATGTACCGCGCTTCCAGTATGATAACCGCCATCCATACTGCCATCTTTCCCGGGCCACCTTGTCATGACGAGAAACACACAATGAAAGCCAAGCTGCTATGCAGGTTCAAGGTCCTGTGAATTCCCTCCTTGCCCTAGTGCGGACGCCAAAGTAAATAAACATCGTGTTGTTCCGCCGTCGTAAAAAAAAAATGTGCAGGAACGCTCGCAGCCTCGGATTGCCCAACGCCTAAGAAAACCAAACATAAATGAAATAAACAATGATATGAACCGATGATATGCCGGTCTCCCCTTCCCCAAACGCCGATGTATGAAAATAAATGTAAGGTCTCTGACCCGTTTCCCTGGTCGAAATCTCATTGAACACCATGGGAAACCCGTGGCCAGGGATCCTCCAGGGACTTGTAAAGCAAATATCCATAGCCGCGAGGCAGAAAAGTGTTGTTTTATGTCGTTCCAGTCAATGTGAGCTATTTACAGCTCTGATAGTCCTCCTTCTCTAAGAGGCTCTAGGAGGCGTATGAAGGCACACTACGTGGTGTGACGTCTCCGCTTCGCTTCCGAACCGGAAGCTGTGCAGCTTGTTGAGAGCGAGATGCCTCGGCAATCATAGCCATCTTCTTGCGGACAGTGGATAAGCGGGCGGTGATCATTTGAATCACTGTGAAACAGTTAGCTTCTTGCCTTGCATTGGTAGTTGGAGAGTAATACGTACTTCGATTGACAACTTGTTGGTCGTCGCTGTCCAAATCGCTAGATACCTCTTCTCGGGTAACGTCTCTGCCCGAGCTAGAATACCGCCGCTTGACCGTGTCCTCATCGTTGTCCAAAACAGCCTCAAGCATGCGAATAGCCGTAACGTAGTAGGTAACGCAACCCTCTAGGTTCTCGTTTGTAATCTCATCAATGGCAGCCGTTCGGCTCATCTCGAGGGCTCGGTCGTACATCAGCTTCTCGGCACTAATACCAGGCGTGAGGTAGACATCCCTCGTGCCTGAAGTGGTCGAAGAGGCGGATTCTCCGCCATGGTTACTTGGATGGCTTGGGTGTTCTTCAGGGAGCTTCTGCTGCACAGCAATAAGTTTGAGCCGAACGACCTCGGTTTTTTCCAGTACTTCGTTAAAGCGGCCTCGAACCCACTGTACAGTTGAGTTAATCCGCTGAGCAAGGCTTTCCTTAGACACCTCGGCCGCGGACACTCCCGTTGAATCACCTCGAGTCTTCCGTGTCCACCATAGGCTTGCAACATCCATTGCCCTAGCCAGCAGTGTCAGTGCCTTGACGTAGAGAACCAGAGCTTCCTCTGACAGGAGAACTTCGGCTTCATTGGTAAGGCCATCCTCTTCGCCAGTCATCTGATCGGTGGGGGTACCACCAAGTCCGTGATCCATCGACGGGGCAAGAGGGAAAAGCTGCTTGTACTTCACCTCGGCAAAACCGTACACGCAGTCACTGCGATGGGCGAAGTCCTGGATGAGCTTCACGGTCCGCGCGTCTTCATCAGCCGGAGCATTTTGCCTGCCGTCGCCGATCAGCCCAGTGGGCCCAGAAGGCGTCGGGTAGGCGGGGAAAGGACTGTAGAGAGGGGGGGAGGCACCCTTGCTGCCCAGTACATGTTGTGGCACCTTGAAGCCAAAGAGACGGACACTTGCGTCTGAAATGGCCTTGGCGATGAACCCTTGAGTGGTTGGACTGGCTGAGAAGTTCTTGCCGTCGAAAGACTCGCGGTGATCATGGCCCGAACGCCCCTTGCCCTGAGCAATCTGCACAGCATTCGAAGGTTGCACACGTCCTGCTCCGGTGGTTGAATTTGGAGGGCCCTGCTGCGTTGCCCTGCGAATTATCTGGCCAGTTTTGGGCGACACGGTTGTAAGACGGGGGTTGGCTGCCATTTCATCCGCAAAAGCATTCACCTCCACATGCTTCTTTTCGACAACAACATAATCCCTCTCAAAAGCAACATCTTGGGCCGCCTTTTCTTGTTCTGTTATGCTTTTCTCAGTGACAGGACGGAGTTTATATCTGGGAGAATTGTCGTTCAAGTAAGACGTTGGCGGGGAGGCAGATGAGCGAGCGGAGGGCCGATTGAGAGACGCATTGGAAAGCCTATGTGGCCGAGCAGGTGCAGAGCTGGAAGGCTGTGGCATCGGAGGGCGTCGAATTCCGAGGCCCTCTGCGGCATCTTGACCTGGTGACTGGCTTACACGAGACGGAGTATCGGCTGCCGTTTGTTGAGCGCGTCCTTCATTGGGACTGGTCAGCTTAGGGGATCTCAAAGGTTTCTCACGGGGCGACTTTGCTGCTTCGCCACCTTCGCGCAATGGTTCATTTTCAGCCTTTTGACGAAGCGACAACCGTCGGGACACCGATGATGTTGAATCAGACCTGCCCAGAGATCGAAGGTCTCTCGTGGCTTTGGGCTCTGACTTGGGAATATCGTCCTCCACCACACCTGGGATGGGGCCGGCTACGATGGGATCGTTGAAGAAGTCCTCGAATCTCATACGCTCGACAGGGCTCCGTGTAAGGAGCTTCCCGATGAGCTTGACCAACTCTTTACTGACTACTAGATCTTTAGGGTACTTAACCCGGTCTTCGGCGGCTTCGATCTTCCGGAGCAACTCAACGTGGTTTCTAGCTCGGAAAGGAGGGCGTCCAGTGATCATTTCGTACAATACTGTACCTACTGACCAGAGATCGGCCTTGGCATCGTATCGCTCATAGCGAAGGATCTCAGGGGCCATATAAAGTGGTGATCCGCAAAGAGTATCGGCGAGTGAAGTCGAGGGTAGGACACGGGCAAACCCGAAATCCGCAAGCTTCAACATGGGCAAGGAAGCTAATCCGGCATTTGGAATCAAGGAATCCTGGCTGGCCGTCAGAATGGGGCGGGAGTTTTCTTCTCTGAACCTGGGCGACGGTAGAAGGAGCAGGTTCTGGGGTTTGACATCTCGATGGACATAGTTCTTTTCCCGCAAAAACTTCAAAGCGCTGCCGAGTTGTTGCAAGAAGTGGCGTGTGACTACTTCGTGGAGTCCCGAGTTCGGCGTGACGGGGTATTTCCTCGCCATGTCGTGAGTAGCGGGGTTTGTGCTGAGCTTGTCTCTCTTTTTAATGAAGAGCGACAGATCACCCAGTTCACAGTACTCCATAACGAGGTTGATGTGTGTGGCGGATTCGACGCAGTCGTGTAATGCGACGATGTGAGGGTGACGGAGTGTCTTGAGAATCTGGATCTCGCCGTACAGGTTCTCCCTAAGCTTGTTGTTCAGACGTCCCATTTCGACCGATTTAATAGCCACTGTAGCTTTGGAACTCTGCAAAGGGGAAGTCAGCTCATCATGATCGATGAATAGTGGGCTCAGCCTTGGCTGGTCCAACTAGCCGTAGGGGCAGTGATAAAGAGAAACCCTCTCCGTGACGAAGAGGAGGCAGAGGGAGGAGGACGAACCTTGTGGTAGCCACTATACACCTGTGCAAAGCTGCCCTTGCCGATTTCGCCGCCTATCACGAAATCCCCGATGGTGGCGTCGGCTTCACGTCGCCTGCGTCCAGAAGAGGACGAAGTCGGGAGTCGGTCCGCCATCTTAGTGTCCTGTTTGAGTTGTCGAGAACAGGTGGCGAAGACGGGGGAGAGTAAGTTCAGGCCGGGGGGCCTATGCTATGCGAAAAACGTCGGCGGCGTGCGGTGCCGTCATGTACACATCCAGTTTTGCGGAATAAGACAGCTCCGTGGTGGGTTCGGGGGGTGATTAAATGGGTTGTAAAGTAGAAGTGCGCGGGACGGAAACAGAAGAAGCAGGCAGAGCTTCAATCAGCGACCAGAACCCTGGCTGGGTTGCTTCGGTAAGGTAGGCAGGTACGGTAGACAAGGCGGCAGCTATCCGATAGGTCGGGAGCGCACAAGCACCAGGTTGATGCAGAGTCGAGGGTGCGCTTGAAGGGTAGAAGCGGGGACCGTCGTGGCGTCCGTGTGCAACGAGTGCAGAAGGCAGTGGTATTGTCTCGACAACGCGACGAAGAGGTGAACGTTGGGAGAAGGCAAGTAGACGGCCGGCAAGAGACGAGCAGGCGAGCGCTTTTTGGGTTTGTGTTGGGCAGAGCGGTAATCGGAGGGGGGAGGTGGGAGGCGTCGAAAGGTCTCGAGTTGTGACTAATACGAATGGACGGTGAGCGTTAGAAAGCTAGCTCAGGTAATCGAGGTACCCAGCCGTTTGAGGCTCTCTTTAAAGGCAAGGTGCTGGAGAGTTTGTAGGGACGACGGGAGAGGAATGGTACCTTTTGGGACAAGAGTCAGGCAAGGTCCAAGGTCAAGCTAATGACTCGGAGCTATCAAGGACGTAGTGGTAATGACCTGATATGCACCCTGATGGAGAATCGGCGAGGTGCACAAGGCAAACGGCGGTACGAAATGGGGGTTGGCGATTGTTTGTATGCACAAATGGATGCAAAAAGAGAACAGAGGGCAGAGAAGTCGAGGGGAGGTCGTGGGTGTAAACAGGCGGAAGGGGGAGAAGGGGGAGAAGGGTGGAAAGGCGCGGTAAGACCGTAAGGGGTTGAGAGAAAGAAAGTAGGTCGAGGTCGAGGTTGAGGTTAGGAGTAAGAGAGAAGAAGCGGTCGGATGAGAAGGGCAGAAGGCGAAGAAGAAGGGACGCGCCGAGGGCAGTGACAGCAGAGAGAGACAGAGTGACGAGGATGGATGGGGGACCAGAAAGTGGATAAGACCGATTAGATAGGGAGGTGGATTGTCGATGTGGCCCGTGGAAGCAGACGGTTGATGCGATGCGATAAAGGGTAGCAGTACCCTCCAGTTAGCGGCACCGGTAGCGCCAGATTGGGAGCCGATAGATGATGGAGGGAGGTACCTGGGTACTTGGAGGTGTGCCCATGGTGATTGGCGGCGGTAGTGGTTGGTGGTTGGTGGTTGCTTTGCTCCCCCGGCTCGAAAGAGAGAAACCGGGGCCTAGGAATGATCTACCCTGATTCCCTTGGGTTTGCCTGTTCCTGTGTGTTTTCTCAGTCTGCTGGCCCACGCGGTATACCGTGGTGTGGCGGCGCTGATGTGATGCAGAGGAAAAGGCCGGTCGGGATGTGAGGGTGGATTGGGGTGGATGCGGATGTGATGTGATGCTAGGCGGGTGGGACAAGCCAGGAGACGCAGCAGCCCGTACATGCAACGCACACAGTGAAAGTGAGACCTGGATCTGGAGTGAAATTACTATTTGGTAATACTACTTTACCATTTAAGTGTAGTTGTGGTCATCGGTCTGGCTTTGGTTTACCTTTTTCTTGTCTTTCCTTCTTTCCTTCTTCTTATTCCGACTCATCTGGGGGGTGGCACAAGAAGGGGTCATGGCAGGGCGGCGCAGTTATCCCGTGGATGATGTGATTTGACCAAAGACAAGGCAGGGCAACCTCCTCGAGATCGAATCCAGTGACCACAATCAACAAAGCAGTGGGCAACAGCAACCTGACCTTACCCTTGGAGTTGGGGGCTCGTGATGCGTTGCGCAGCGGTGATTGTGGAGAAGGTACAAAGATACGTATCGTGACATGCCGCTCCGGAACAGCCAATGCAGGTGCATCGCGACCGCCCCGCTCGTATCCTCGTGGTCACTGGTCAGGGGCCATTTGGTGGTGGGCCGGGGATGGCATTGGAGAAGGATACCTAGGCTGTACAAATCCGGTCTCGGTCACGCAGGACGCCTATGTAGGGGTATTGGCTGCTGCAGCACTCAAATGCCATCATGGCGCGATAAGGCTCATGTATCGCGATAAGCCCAGTAGCAGGAGCAGCATCAGCAGCGGCAACAGCAGTAGCACTCTTTCCCTTTACTCCTGTTACACTATTATGACCGTTGTCATCATCATCACTGTTTGTGTCCTAACCATGGTCCAATTTCACTAGGACAAGTAAAGATAAAAACCAAAAAGGAATAATAAAACAAAAGTAAAGATCATGCCCTGGTAGCCGTACGGATTCCTACCGTCTGCTGCTGCTGTTTCGGTGTTTGCATCTGCTGCTCTCCACTCCCCGAACTCGCCTAACTTCCGTGTTTGGGAAAGCGCCGACAGCGCATCTCGCCTTCTCAGCGCCTTTGGGTAGGCATTCTGCAGGACCACAGCGCAAGTTCTAGTTTACATTTTCCAGTTCCCGATGGCCAATCCCAGAGAGGAAAGAGTACAATGTTCACTTCGAGACCAATAAGGCAGGAAGGAAGCCTAATAAGAGACACCAAGTCAGGTCAGGACCATGTTGGACAGCTTTGCTCCCTTAGCCCTCCTTTCCATACCGGTATACTATCAAAGCATACAACAATACCATAATAGCCATCACAATAACCTTCAATGCCCAGCCGGCTTTTGTTATTCCTTATCTCACGTTGCCACGGAGTGCCTCCTTCAGGTCCCACTAGTCCCCCAAGTCTCTTTTCCAAGACCATCCTCGGCCATGCTTCTGTCTACCAAGCCTTCCTACTCATCAATGTCAAACCCTCTCCAGCTTTTTTATTTTTATTTTTCAAGAACGAAAGTGGCTTGGGAGGCGTAGCTTCCGTCGTGCAGCACAGCGCCGCGATACACTTTCTCTGCTGGAACACCTCTCACCTGGCCGCTCGTCCCTTCTGGCCATTTCATCATTACGTCGTCGCAGTGACAGAGACCCCCCGGTCTTCGGACCCCATTCCCAACTCTCTCTCCCTTTCCCCCATTCATCTTCTGCATCTCCTCTTCCACCTCCAGGGTATCCGCACTCTGACTCCCACATACACACCCCATCTCTTCCTGCACACACTTTGCGTCCCTCGCAGTCGCACCACTTTGAATGACTCCAAGCGACCCTCTCCCTCTCTCTCCCCTGTAGCAGCCTTCCAAGATGGAACCTTCTCCACCCGCCCTTCCAGACGCACTCCAGAACGCCCACGCGCATAAGAGGCTGCCCTGCTACCGGCCCGCAGAAAGTGCCTGTCCATACGTCGGGTACGCAGTGTTTCGGTACATCCCTAAGCCAAGACGAGGTACTGGGTACTTGAACCAACGCAAAGTACAGTACCTCTCCACTGGTGCACTCCAGCCCACGCACGCATCAGATCTATCTTTTCTCGCTGGTCAACCTTGATAGACGCCGCGCTATCCTTATCGTGTCGCCGGCTCATGTCCATGCCGCAAACACATGTGCATCCCTCTATCTGGGCGACCGATACCCGCCTCTCATGTGAAAACGACTTTGGCTTGCCAGCCGTTTCCTCTTACCACCATCCAGCCGAGCGAGCCATCGCCCAACAAGACTTCGCGTTGGATTCGTTTCGGCTGCTCAACTGCCTCATGTCAAGCCACCGTAACTATCAACGTCGAGTTCCATCATCCCGCTGTGCCATGGCGTAATCTTGCGTTCCACTGCCGCTCGCCCGGCCACTAACAATAGGATCTGGGATGTCAATGTATCTTCTCGGTTGAATCTGCTAACTACAGTACGGATACCTGCCTGCACCTTTCTCTCTTCGTCTCTCTTACTGCCCGTCCAATTAAATAGTGACCTAGGGACTCGGGTCTCATCCATCCTGTAGGATATCCATTGCCTCAAAACACATGTAGGTTTCTGGACCAAACAATGCCCCCTGTCGGACCCAATAGGCAGACGTCTGGTCCAATGTTGACTAACAATAAACGCAAGCCCCAATACTTACTTTGACATTGATTGCACCGAACTTTGCGCATTCACATCGGCCTGCAGCTCAGCATTCTCAGTGGCTGGTTGACTAGGTTGCTGCATGATCTGGCTCGCCTTGCCTCACCTTACCTTTGCCCTCAGGCTCCCAGGCTTTCACGGCCTCGTTCTTGAGGCTGCTTGTTTCTTCTGCCTGGCGCCCCAGCTGCTGGCCGGGAAGGACATCCAGCCAACCGGATCACCGCCCTGGCCGGTCTTCTCCATTTGCGACTTGTCCACTTTTTGCGTTTCTTCAAGTCTTTCGAATGTTAGCGCTGACCGTAGATGCTCCGTTGCCTCTACTCCCTGATGGGACGGGACAAGAAATACTGTCCTAACGCTGCCGCCATGCCAACAACCAATCTTGAACACGACACACAACACCTACAGTTGGCCTCGGAGGTCGTTGGAACCGCAAATTGCCTTGCTCAAACATGCATAGCTCAAACGGGTTATGAGCCAACAGGAACCTCGCCCTCCCTCCCTGCTCTCATCAAACTCCCAACAAATAACGTAGTGTACCAAGCTATTCCAGCAACCACCAAGACGCACGAATGCCCCAGGCCAATACATGAACGTAGGTATCCATTTTCTGGCTCTTCTCGATGCTGGTTGCAATTCCCTATGCTTAGACATCCCAATTCAGATGCCAGTTCATATCTGCCCAGGCAGCCATGCCCATCACTTATTCACAGTTCGAATTCTCGTTTCGTTTCCTCCCGACTTTTCATACCGCATACGCCTTACGCCCTGCTGACGGTTTCACACGAACTACTCTCAAGCCCAAGTTATCGGCAGAACTAGACTCTCATCTTAGTCGCCCCCCAGTCACTTTGATGCCCCAGGCTTTGACTCTCTTAACCTGTCAAAAACCCTGTTTCAGGACCCATGAAACCCATTGACATCACCAACTCTGGTCTTGAGTCGCACCCTCCCCACACGCGACAATCCCTTTACAGTGTTCCTTTTCAGGGCCTCGAGGGCGAAGCTCAAGAGGCCAAGGCAGACAAGTCCTTGTAAGTCGCCTGCTGTGCCTGGCAACTGCTATCGAAAGGCGCAACCCACTTTCAAGACGCTTTTGTCTCACCCACCACCCACCCCAGCGCCCAGCCTCTGGAGCCATGCAAGTGCCTTTCGCTGCCCCAAAGCGGCAATCCGAACAGGGTGCCGGGTCCTCGGTGCTGCCATTCATTATACGTTCTGTCGTTGTCATCTTCGCCTACGTCCTCACTAGATTACAATTACAATTCATTGTGTGGTCACGATACTCAACTAGTCCTCGTTTCCGGCTCAGGTAAAGTCTAGACTCGCCTGGCGAAGCAAGAGGAGCAAACTTTCCGAGTGGCTACCTGGGTCCCAGATAAAGTCCTCTACGTCTACGGTGACGATCCTTCCTCTCTAATCCGCCCATTCCCCCTGAACACACAAGACTGGGACCCATCCCCGCGTGCTCCAAGAAACTCCAGTTGCCCACCCCCCTTGGATAGAGGTGGATGCCCGCATCACCCCGAGGTCTTAGCGTCAAAATGACAGCCTCGTCGGCGGCGATCGTCGAATTCCCTCCCAGGCGGCTTATTGTCGAACCAATGATCCGCGCAAGTGAACCGGACACCTCCCCTTCAGAGAGAGGTTCGACCCTGACGGTGAAATAGCCGTGGTCGGGACAACGAAGCCATCAAGCATGCAGCTCCCTGGTTCCAGTAATGACGCCTGATGAAGTTACTGCTGTACGATCATTCCGGCCGTTACAAAATTGCCACCCTTCATCCCGTCCTGGTTGTAGTTCAGACGGGCTTACCTGCGTTCAAGCAGTGGTGGGCATGAAAGGGGACTATGGAAACCTGGAGTTGGAGGCGCAAGATGACTAGTCGCCGATTCTGGCAACATGTTTGCTTTTTCTTGTCGCCAAGGGTGTATAGAGTCATAAACTCCACCTGCACGATATCGCCTGGGGGCCCAGCGACTGATAGCTTGGAAAACGTCTACGGGTCAAGATATGCAAGCGACCGGGTTGCCGGCCCTCTGCAGCATGCATCGTCTTGAGGCTAGTTCTGCCTACATACCTATGCTAGGAAAAGGTCTACCGACAGCTGGTGCAATCTGGCTCCTGAGAAATAGGCGTTCCTTCTGGTGCTCTGGAGCTGATGGAAGAGCCGCCCCGGCTTGCTGCTATCAAGTTCGCCATGAAGATCAGATCAGGCAGGCAGGGTAGCCGCTCACAACGACTACGACAGGCTGCCTCGACTTAAGACCAGGCACCGACGGCTTTCTTAACCTGATGAAAACGGAGTCCTCGCGAAATCCCAAGTATGGGGACAACCCTAGACCATAGCACATTGCAGGGGCGTCGAGTAAACGATCTTAAACCCCTACACCGACACATAGCTAGCTTGTTCAACATGTGATCTCTATCGAGACGGTGTGATTTTGTATAGTAACCTCCGCAATAGCCCATTTACTTTGACGCAAGCCTGCAAAGCCCAGTCCTTAGGTGCCGATACCTTACCTGCCTGTCATATCAACGTGCGATTTACCACACATCAATACAGGAAGCTTCCTAATCCACCCGTATAGAGAGCCTCATGAACTCCATGTCTTGGACCTCAGCCTGGCTGCCGTGGCAACTCGACCTAGCCTGCAGTGAACATTGACAAGGTCAGATCGGGCAACGGGACTCAAGGAAAGTCGAAATCAGCCCAACCAATACCGCGCTGTCTTGTATGAAAAGGGGAACGCAATCCCGACAACTTGTTGTGTCCCCATGGTCCCCAATAAGAGATGGACAGTCCCCTCGGATCCCACAAGGACGACCATCAAAAGAATGCCTATTAGACCTCCTTAAGCTGACAATGTACACCACACACACACACACTCACTATCTCTCCTTCTCTGGCGTGCGGGCACACCCACACACACACCACTCACCTGCAACCCGCGCCAAGACATCTCAGCCTGACTCACCCCGAACCAAACGGCCTCATTGTGAGCACAGGGTATCTATAATATCTTTTTTTTTTTCCTTCTTTCCTGACTGTTCCCCTAACACCACCATGCCATGTCGTGGGCCGCAAAGAATGCGACCAAAAATCGATGCTTGTCCCCCGAAATGTAGCAAATATGATGGTTAAAGTCTATCATCCCACCACCCATTCCACGACCAAAACGCAACCTCTTCGGCTAAGTTTCGTTACGTAGAATGTTAGAACCGGATGAGCGTGGGGGGACAGAAACATACCTCACTCGCACACACACACACACACAATCTCTCTCTCTCTCTCTCTCTCTTGTGCAAAAAGACAGACAGACAGACACACACACACACACACACACACACACACAAGCCACGGGGAATTGTCAAACCAGAATGCGAAAAGAAAGCCGGAGATGGAGGGAGGGAAAGAACCCATATGCACCTCAACGTGTCCTACGACACCCTTCCCCTCCCCCACACAACCTTGGCTGCCGGTCATGCATACATGCAGCACCCCGAATTCGTACGTCACTTTATCTCACCACACTTAGTGGCCATAAACCGTAACACCACGAACGGGGACGCATAATCACGGGCTCGCAGATAAATCTGGTGTGATGTCTTTCTCTTTTGTACGATTCGTGATCGCTCTACTGCCGCCGCTGCTGCCTCGGTGTATCCGAAACAGATGATCCCGCTCGTTTGGGATACCCGCAGTACATATGTACATACATGTTCTACCACATAGAGGTCGCCGTAGGTCTTGCCTGAGGCGATATGCTCATGTCTATGCTCGTCCTCCACCCGCCATAGGTGATCGATGCCCCCAGCTGTATGATGCTACCGCTGCTAAATGAATCATGACCCAAGGAATGCTGCCTGGAAGAAGTCGAAAAACCTACTGCCCGTGTCGTGGAATCCTTTCTTTTATTTCCCCGCTTCTCAAGGCAGTGAGGAAACCCAAAAAAAGCGCGGCCGGGCGAAACAGAGATAGCTCCCAACGCCTTGCTAGTGACAAAGATGGTTTACGACCAGAGTAGATCATAGCCAAAACCATCTCCCCCCAACTCGTACCGGATCCTGGTTCAGATCTGACAGGCCAGGCGATACCGCACACCCCTAGTCGTATGACAGGACACCAACTTCCCCGCAGTGGACGTCCTGTGGTGGTCGCCTAGCCTGCTGCCAGCGACTCACAAAGCTCCTGTCGTGCCGTGATCGGACCGCCCTCACGCCGACTCGTCTATCCTCCCAAATCAGTGGTCTGCGGTCTTCTCGACGGTAGGAAGCTCCTTAAGCGCCTCGCCAATTATATTGAGAGCCTTGCGGAGCTCCGACTCGGAAATGACCAATGGCGGCGCAAAGCGGATGATGTTTCCGTGCGTGGGCTTGGCCTGTTTATATGTTAGTAGTCTGTGTCGAACAGCGGGAAGTGGGGGGAAGGGAAGTGAAGTTGAAGACGACATACCAAAAGGCCCTTCTCCTTCAGCAACAAGCACAGATCCCACGCCGTGCGGCCGGCGGCAGCAGACTCGTCAATCACGACAGCGTTCAGGAGACCCTTACCGCGTACGGTCTGGATGATGGGTGAGTTGAAGGCCTTGATGCCATCACGGAAGATGTGGCCAAGCTTCTCCGCTTTAGCCGTGAGGTCTTCCTCTTCCATGATCTCTAGAGCGCGGATCGAGACTGCACAGCCGAGCGGGTTGCCACCGTAGGTCGAACCGTGCGTGCCAGGCTCCACGACGAGCATCACCTCCTTGCTAGACAACACACAGCTGACGGGGTACAGTCCGCCAGAGATGGCCTTGCCGAGGGTGATCATGTCGGGCTTGATGCCAGCCCACTGAGAGCAGAGCATGCGACCGGTGCGGCCAATACCCGTCTGGATCTCATCGCAAATGAAAAGCACGTTGTGCTTTTTGCAGAGCTCCGACACGCGCTTCAGGTAGTCATCGTCGGGTACCACAACACCAGCCTCACCCTGTATCGGCTCGATGATGATGGCGGCCGTGTCCTTGCCGTGGGCCTCAAATACCTCCTCAATATCGGCAATGTTGTTGTAACGAATCGGCTTGCCAGTGGAGGGGTTTATGGCACCGATGTTAGGCACGTACGGGCCGTAGTTGTCTCTTGACTCGGGATCGACAGAGAGGGAGATCGCAGTCATCTAGTGAGACACAACGTCAGCGCCAAAGTTCGCCTTCAAAGGAAGAAAGGAGAGGAAAGGAGGGGAGAGAAGGTCGCCGGATAAGGCAAAAAAAGACTTACCGTTCGTCCATGGAAGTTGTCATTCACAGAGAATACCAAAGCCTTGCCCTGCTCGACACCCTTCACCTTGTACGCCCACTTGCGCGCAATCTTGATAGCAGTCTCAACGGCCTCGGCACCCGTGTTCATGGGCAGGACCATGTCATAGCCGAAAACTTGCTGGATCTTCTCAGCCCACTTGGGAAAGACATCATTGTAGAAGGCGCGCGAGCTGAGGGTCAAGCGGCCGGCCTGCTCCGCCAGGGCCTTCACCAGCTCCGGGTGACAATGGCCTTGGTTGACGGCGCTGTAGGCAGAAAGAAAGTCGAGGTACTGACGACCCTCGGGATCCCAGACGTGGACGCCGCTTGCGCGAGAGAAAACGACGGGGAGAGGGTGGTAGTTGTGAGCGGCGTACTCGTTCTCGGCCTTGATAGCGCCGTCAGTCGAGGCAGCGTGGTATCGTGAGTCGGCGGCATTGCCATTGCCGTTGGTCTGGGTGGCACCGCCGTTTGCGTGGGGAGCCATGGTGTAAGTTGATGGGAGGTTCGGGATAATGGGCAGTAAAGCAAAAGAGAGGCCAGGAAAGCGTCAGGACAGTTAAAGGTATCGATTGACGTTAATGATCATTCAATTCGTGTCGCCAGGAAGAGTGTCTTTGGGACAAGTGGCAGTTGCAACAAGGTTTGGTAGAGAAAACATCAAGAGAAGAAGATCAAAGCGAGGGGCAAATCGCGGGGTCTAAGCTAGTTATACCCTGTTGGCTTGGCCGGTTCTGGGGGTCCTTGACTAAAACAACCAAAAAAAAAAAAACGAGGCGACATGACATGGGAAGCAAGCAGAAAGAGGCTATGAAAGCAGGAGGCGGCGGCGTCGGCGGCGGCGGCGGCGGCAACATGGACAGGGCCAGACTCGACAAAGACGGAGGCGGGTATCAGCGCCAGAAGCCTAGCAAATCGCCAGCAAAAGAGTGAGAGGAAAAACCTGACACGACATGGACTGAAGCCAAACCTGGGACCATGACCTGGAACCAAACTCTTGGTGTCGGAGTAAGAGGCGTGCCGCTATGCCTCTAAGTGCAGGTATGTTCCCCTAAGTGCAGGTATAAGCGGCTCAAGTGGGTGAGTGGGCAGGATGACGCCCGAGGGGCCATGTAAGGGAAACCATCCCGGTGCCATTTCAGTCACATGGCCGGGGGACAGACGAGGAGGTGTGGTCCAACAAAACACAAGTGCGGCCGAAGGAAAGCGGCGCCGGTGTTTCCAAGCTGGTGTAAAAATCTCGTAATGGGAAGTCCGATGATGTATGCTGCGTGCTGGAATGTCAAGATGACAGAAAAGTAGAGGTAGGAAAACAACCAACAAACCGACTGCCGACAGATGATTTGATTGATTGGCGGGGCTCAAAACCGGGAGGGAAGAACGAATGAGGGGAAATCAGAGAAAAGAGAGCGCCGATAACGGGCGGTATAAGCCTCTGGTAAGGTTGGTCCTTTCGTCAACCAACGTATGCCTATCTATGCTATCATCTGCGTAAGCTTTCATTCAACTTGCGTTTCCCTCTCGAACCACAAAGATAGGGTTTTGTAAGGCATGTATAATTCAGAGCTGTGCCATTGGACCAAAGCTCGATAAGTGGAAGAACGAAACCGTGGAGAATCAGAAAGAAGGCTTGGGGCCGAGAGAGACGAGAAAATGACCAAATCCCCGTCAAAAAGCGACAGTCTTGTCCAATGACGACGGCGCTGATTGTCAATTCCTCCCCTCGGAACCAATGGGAAGCGCTACTAATATGGAGACTAGCGAGGAACCAATGGGACGGCTTCGGCGGCCAGAGCATAGTGGGACCTTATGCCTGAAATTCAAGGTTTTGGATTAGGTGGTCTTCAGATTGCTGACGACTCAGTTTAGCGGCCAAAAGACCTGGGGATGACGGCCTGTCACTGAAACTTAGGGGGCCAACCTCGTCCCATTCGCTCTCGTACTGTCGTGCAGTGCTCCAATTTCCCAATCTCGTCTCGACATTCCATTAGCGATTAGGAAGCCCACCCCCCGGTGGCTTCTATTTCGGCATCAACCCAATCCTTCCTAACGAGGAGAGCACGAGGAAGAAAATAAACCCAAATTGTCTCTTTCAGAAGTCGTCACAACACCCTCAGCACGTACCAGCACAACCACACACCATTTCCAACCGCCTCAGGCAGCCCTCCTGACTCAACCCCCTCTAAGTTTTCTCATCAATGCTCTTGCCGTCCGCCCGATGATTACGCAATAGCTTCCGACCTCGACCCCACTGACCCCCGTTCGCCGCTGCCGCCGCCGGCCATACTATCTCCCTAAAGTACCGTACCACCGTGCCAAGCGCGTGCCCACAATGGCTTCCGTCGGCTCCCCGCCCGCCCCCGAACTCCTAAAGGCAGTTCGTAACGAGCACAACAAGCCCTCCGTGTTCCGGCACCTCCTCATCATCCGCCTACTCAACGCTTGGTGGGTCCTCACCTTTTTCCAGCCCGATGAATATTTTCAGGCTCTCGAGCCCGCTTGGCGTATGGCCTTTGGAGAGGGGAGCAGTGCATGGATTACATGGGTAAGTTTGTCGTCTCTCGTCCTTTTTCTTTTTTTATTCTTTTTTTTTTCCCTTTTTCTCCCTTCCAAATTATCCTTAATACGTACAAATTATTGTCAGCTTGACAATTTCAGTGGATACTGACCCCGTTCAGGAATGGAGATATCAACTCCGCTCCTCTTTGCATCCTGCTCTCTTCGCTGGTGTGTACGCCCTCGCGGACATTGTGGCCCGGCCTCTCCCCGCTGCTGCTCAATCATGGCTTCTCCTCCTGGCTCCAAAGGCCATCCAGGCGTTCTTCGCTGCGGCCGGTGACTGGTATACATGGCAGCTCGCCGTCAAGATCTACGGCGCGGACAGTTCCATCTCGTGGTTCGCTGTAAGTGTATCTTTCTCGACGCTAGATCCCAGAGAAAAAGCTTCTCATGAGAAGCCCTCATACTCACAATCTCATAGCTTTTCATGAGCATGTTCAGCCCCTTTCAATGGTACTGCTCAACACGAACCTTCTCCAACTCATTGGAGACCACACTCACCATCATGGCCCTCAACTACTGGCCATGGGAGCTCCTCGGTGAGAGCAAGGCTGTAAAAGAGAACCCCAAAGCAGCCCAGTCCATCTTAAAAACCCCCGGAACTCTCAATAGGTATGTCTTCATGTGACCTTACCAACTCCGTGAGCACCTCACTGATTATGACATAGCCTTCGCCTATCGCTTGTACTTGCCGCCACCGCGGTCCTCCTCCGCCCGACAAATATCCTAATTTGGGCTACGGTCGCAGCTGTGACTCTCGGTCGGTCCTTCTTTGCCCGTTCAGTTCTCACGTCCGGCACCATCTTCATTCTAATCCGCGAGGCTTTCCTTTGCGGCGCGCTTGCCCTCTCTCTCTCCCTCGCCTCCGACCGCCTCTATTTTGGCGAATGGACCTTTCCGCCCTACAAATGGCTCTACTTCAACATTTCCCAGTCTCTGGCAGTGTTCTATGGCCATAATGACTGGCACTACTACCTCTCTCAAGGGCTGCCTCTGCTATCAATGGCTTACCTTCCCTTCGTCCTCATGTCCCTCTACAAGCCCCCCTCGACACCTTCAAAAGTCCGCTCCTTGACTATCAAAACCTTGTCAGCGATAGTCTATGTGACGATAGCATCCCTCTCCATCATTTCCCACAAAGAAGTCCGCTTCATCTACCCTCTTCTTCCTGTTCTCCATATCCTCGCCGCGGCGCCCTTGGCCTCCTTCTTGACAACCATGCCCCCGCAGAGCTCCAAAACCCCTCTCCCGAGGCCCCGTCTCCGTCACAAGAAGCTTTTAACTACTGCCTTGTGCTTCCATGCCCTCGTGTCCTTCTTCCTGACCCTCCTTCACCAACCCGCGCCCCTGACAGTCCTATCCTACCTCAGAAACAGCTACGCTCGCCTCCACCCAGACTCTTCGCCTTCGGCCCCGGCATCGACAAACTCCTCATCTGAAGAGCTCTTTGCCCTCTTTCTGACTCCTTGCCATACGACTCCCTGGCGCTCGCACCTTCACTACCCTTCCCTCCGCGCCCGCGCGCTAACGTGCGAGCCCCCACTGCACACCGCACCAGACACCCCAGAACGGCTCAACTACCGCGATGAGGCGGACCGCTTCTTCGACGACCCCCAGCTCTTCATGTCCACCGAACTGTGGCCGTCGACAGAAACAGCGGCAGCTTCGCCGGGGAAGACCGCAGGCGAAGAGATCCCCCGCTACCTCGTCGGCTTCGAAGGCATCGAGCCCTGGCTCCAGGAATTCTTCGACGGCCCCGCCGGCAAGGCGTTCGGCGTCCGGCCCACCCGCGTCCGGCAGCTGTGGAACGGCTTCTTCAATGAGGATTCGCGCCGGCGCGGCAAGCTTGTCGTCTGGGATACAGGGCTGTATACCACCAAGTCTTAGGATATTCGTCAACGTGGTCTGGTCAAAAAGGATGTACCGAGCGCGAAAAATGCGCAGAAGTTGTATACAAATCAAAAAATGTTGGAGAAGACGTTTAGTTCGAAGCAAAAAGTGTTCCCCGGTGGAACTTGTACATTTAGTAGAAAGGAAAATAAGACGAGTTCGCTTCTTCAAATGAGTAAAACGTAAGTATATCAAGATAATTCGCATGACATGCGGTTAGTCTCAAGACAATCAACTTGATTGTACCTGGACTTCAGCCATAGATTAGAATGGCCTCTTAGATGAACGCTCTAGATCTCTGGCAAAAAAAGGGGAACGTCGAGTTTTAGCTTGAATATTCTTTTTACTAGTATGCTCTGACCGACTATCAATTTTCCTCAGCGGCTAGCCTGCCAACGCCCTTCTTCAACGTCCACGTCACAAAGCAGCATCCATTCACTTGGTACGGACTCGGGTTGAAACATGAAAGTCTTTTCTTTTCCTAGACCATGAATACCTATCCCATGAACGTTATGGGGACTGACTACATTTGACAACGCCTACTGACAATGATCCATTCATAGCGAGCGAGCCCGTGGGCAATGCTTCGCTGACACCAAGCCAGAGAATCGAGCAACTCCATACAGTATGAATCACAAATGTGGCCATCGAGTGATACCATTGTGAACATTTGGGAGAGAAAGAATTCCCATCTACCTGTGCCTACTCTTTCATCCCTGAACGTACGTCATAATATCCAAAGACACCAAGTGATCCCCAGACTTTGCCAAAACACCAATGTATTTCATGTTCGATATTCGAATGTCGTCATAACTACCGCGATTCTTCGGGTTGCGCTTGTGGTTGCGTTGCTTGTGTTGCATGTGCCTGAGCTGGCTGTGGCAAAGGGACTTGGGGTTGCGTGGGCTGAGCGGAGTGAGGCTGAGTAGCTTCAGATTGACTTTGCTGCGGCTGTGCCGGCTGCGGTTGAGGCGCCTGTGCCGGAATAACTTGTGGTTGGGATGCTGCCGGTTGTGGCGGCGACGTGGGTAAAGCTGGGTGCTGTACCTTCTCTTCAGGCTCCCTTCGAATATCCAAGCTCTTCCCTCTGCCTGACATCATGCTAGAACTTCCCAAGGAAGACTGCCGGTCTGCTGGAGGAGACTTGTTTCGCCGTTGTTCAGCACTCTCCTTCGCCTCTCGGTACTTGTTCCTAATCCAGCCAATAGGGCCCTTGGATTCGTCCTTGCCGTCCTTGTCCTTGCCTGATTCATGGCTCTCGGTGTTGTGCATAGGCTGTTCAGAGCTCTCGCCAGTGAAGCTCTTGCGTGGCTTGTATCCGCCGCTACCAATTGAAGTGGTGCTAACATCGGCATTGTCATTTGACCCGAATGCTAGGCGAGGCGATGTCACCGGGGGGTACTGGTGACCATCGTCCTTCCTTTGACGAGACAGCCTCCACCTCCTCTTCTTGTCCTTGTCCTGTTCTATAGCTTCCGCCGACGTTGTCATGATTGACTCTTCAGTCTGATCAATGTCAGATCCTTCGTTGAAAGATGAGTGAAGGGATGTTGGTGGCGACTTCTTAGCCTTGAGGGTTTGTTCGGGGTGCAAAGTATTGGTTGAAGGGACTTGAGAAGCACGCGGAGTAGGCTCCGAAGGAGTGTCACCTGCAGGGTGGTTTGGCCTGATGGGAAGGGCATCGTGCTCAGGGATCGATCCACCTACGTGCTCCAAAGGATTGGGGACTTCAAAACTGGGCGAAATGGCAGCAGAATGCGTACCTGGCAGAGACGAAGCGGAACTTTGCGCACTGGGGTTCAAGCTACCCGGTATACGTTTCTTCTTCAATTTGTTGGGTTGCCTCTTCTCGCCCTCTCCGGTTGGAGATCTCTGAAATATGCTGGGAAGGCCTCTCTCTTTGGCGGGTGTGGTTGCCTCATGGGGATCGAGAAGCCTTTCTTGGCTCCTGCCTGCGGTACCAGACGCGCTGGGAGCCAAGGTAGACGTACCGATGGCGGCGGGTGCAGGTGAGATAGTGGACGCTGAAGGGGATTGATCGGGCATCTCAGAAAGCTCTTCGGTTGTAGAGGGGATCATGGGCTCCCTAGGGGATGATCCTGGAATCGGTGATGCATCGCGTCTAAATCTTCCACCTTGGAGAGCCGGGGATTTCTTCGACGGGACCGTGTTGCTTCTGCCGAGACCGCTGTTTGGAGTCGGGGCGAGCGCAGGGCTGTTGGGCGTGGTTGAACCGTCATGATGCGAGTGCCGCGAGGACGTTGATCTGTTTCTCCGAAGCATCCCGTCCCTCCTCACACTCTCAGCGCCCGCGCTCGCGTTAGATGCAGACCGTCCCAGACCTGACTTCCTATTCGGGTTGGGAGTAGTTGGTCCACCCGCAGGTGGGGGGGTTCCTTTTTCAATCAGCTGCTTGGTCTTCTCATCAGTAGCCGTGCCCTGCATGCCGATCAAGAAGTGGTCCTGGTTCTCGATCAGGAAAATAAGGACATGCTGGTTAAGGCGGTATTCCTCAGGGGCCATGGCGTGCTGAGGATGCGATAACATGCCGGGTTGAAAGATGGCCGCAAGGTTCTGAGAGTTCATCCTGTTCTCCTCCGACTTGGCGGCAAATACAGCCAGCAAATCCAAGATGTAAAGCAGCAGCTGACGGTTTAATGGCGGAAGCTCTGTGATCAACTTTTGATACTTGGCAATAGCGGCCTGCTCGTCAAAATTCTCGACGAATTGCGGGCCCTCAGCATCACCGACCGCTTGTCTTGTGGCGCCCCGCAAGGGTTCCCTGAACTTCTCATACAAATCCAGTGGCACGACGGGTTCGGGAAGGTCGTTGAGGTAACGTCGGAGGACATTGGCAGCATCATGAACCGTATAGTTGTCCCAAACTAAGCCCTTGCCGTAGCGGTCAGGAGAGTCAAAGATCTGTTTCAGCTCCTTGATTCGCTTTTCGGAGCCGCTGAGGCGGAAAATACCCTCCACCGACGTTGCTATGGGGAACGTAAGTATGCCACACATGCACAGCACAAGTTGAGCGCACTCACCCTTTTCCTTCAAGAATACGCCGCACTTGGCAACGACGATAGGAACATAGCCGTAAATGTAACTCTTGCCGTTCTCATCGACGAGAGATATCGCAACATTAGCGTAGGTGATGCTCTGGCGGAGGGGAACGCCAAAGATGCCATGGGGTCGGTTTTCTGTTGTAGACTGTTTAGCTCTTGAAGCAAAAGGGGTAGTAATGGCTGCGCGGATCCGCTTGGCACTCAGGCGCACAGGCTGGGTGATGAACAGGGGCATCCTGTTCAGCACACATGCCAGGCTGGTGGTGGTGGTAGCGGTGGTGGTGGGTGGTGGGAGCTGTCGCATCACTTGAAGCAACGATTCTTGGGGGAGAGGCTTCACAGTCTCATTCTTTGTGCGCATCCTGCATTAGCAGGACGGCATTTAGCGGGATGTGCGCTGTATCGATTGCGTCGTCGACATCTTCACTGAAGAAGGACTGGGCTGGGGGCGAAGGATTTCGAAGCGAAAGTAGAAGGGTAACTACCATTGTGTTCCTGGTGTTTTGAGGGCAGCTTGAAACCTTTCCACCACGATTTCAAATCTCTCTTGTTAGGAGTCGAGGGTCCGGCGGTTGCAGTCGAGGTACCGCTCGAAGGCTGGAAAGCCTGGTTTGGGGGAGGAGCGGCGGACGTCATCGCAATGACGGGGCGCAGTTGGTCGGAGCTCAATTATCGTGTCGTAGCCAGCGTCTTGCCGTCGGGAGAAAGGATGGTGAACGAAGGATACCTAAAGACCAAAAACGGACAGAAGATTTAAATCCAGCGATCGGAAGACAGGGCAGAGTCGGTGCAGCCAGTTTCGCCTTGAGATCTAGTCGGTCGGTAGGTCGGCTCGCCTGGTCGCTTGGTGGTGTTTTGCACTGGGTTAGGTTGCTAGGAAGGTATTGGGTGTGAGCAGCATGCGCTAAGATGGGATGCGACACGCAGGCGGTGATTGGGCGTGGGGTTTCTTTTGGCGCGCGAATGTTCCTTTGTCGAGTGATGCACTCCAACAGCAGTCTGAAGGCTTTCCACCTATCCTTTTTTTTTTTTTCTCTTCCCCTACCGTGTTGCTGGTGTCATGGAAAGAGTTATGACCATGGAGGATGGAAGTGTGAAATGAATGACGAAGGAGGATCCGCGAAGTAGGTAAAGTAGGGAGCTCAGGTGCTTTCGGGCAGCTTTGGCCAAAGGCAGTAAGTAGTAGGCGACGATGATGCGGAGCTGGTCTTTGGGGCGGCGGCGGCGGCGGGTATCGTAAGACAAGAGCTGTGCGTTAGTGGGATATTAACGACAGACAATGATGAAAGCGAACGACGTTTCCGATTAAGGCGCGCGACTGCACAGTTTATGCCCTCGCAAAGTAGAATCGTCCGCGAAGATGGCGAAGAACACCGCTGCTTATGTTCTTCTTGTTTTGGGGGGGTGGGAAGGAAGTTGGGGCCGGGGGAGAAGGGGTAAAAGCAAAAAAAAAAAAAAAAAAAACAGTACGGGCCGGCAAGGTAAGCGAGTGGGAAAGTGAGGTAATAGGCAGGAGGCCGAAGCAGACGAGAGAGGTAGGAAAGGCCAAGCAGGTAGAGAGGGAAGGAGGCGGAGGGGGGATGCAGGTGTTGTTTGATGGTTGCAAGTGCCAGTGTCAGTGTAGCAAGTGCGGGTGCAAGTGCAGGGCAAGAAAGGTCCAGGTCCAGGTCCAGGTCCAGGCCGGGCGCAGGTGCGTATGTGCGTAAGGCAAGGCAAGATCTGGTTAGGTGCTTCGAGGAAGGATTAGGTGGTGCCTTGGAGTAATGTAAAGCAAATGCAAATGTAAATCAGGTGGTGTGCAATGGTTGGCGTGTGTGTATGCGTGTGTGTGGTGTGTGTGTATGTACCGAACGGCTGTCGTCAGTGGTGATGAATCCAGACCGTTTTTGGTTTTTATCTTTTTATTTTGATTTGATTAAGTCCGGTTGGTCTGTCAGTGACCAGCACTCTATGGCTTACCCCGAGGTTGGCAAGGTGGGATGGAGAGAGTTGTGCAGTACCAGGACCATCCAGCTAACCGCCTATTGCTTGTTTAATGCCATACTATGCTATACCAGAACATGGCGTGTATATAGTATGTATCTGCCTAGCATCCCAAGAGGCGAAGCAAAACATCCAACAGCTACGAGGACGAAGACGAGATACCTACACAGAAGTCGCAGGGGCGCGCAGAATAGAGCAAACGCCATCAGATAATTCATCGTCAGCAGTACCATACGAAAACGACAACAGAGACAGTCAATAACTCCGTACGGACGGTATGGGTGACCACAAGGCCCTTGAAAGTACCTTGCTTTGACAGGGTCATCGTCGGTCAGGTGCTCCAGTAGGGCAGCCCCCCAACGCCCCCCAATGAAGGAGAAGACGAGGGTGAGGATAAGGGGTGGGCGCAATACCGACCCAATCCCAAGCCTTTGCGCTGCAAACACGTACTGCAGCTTGTTCCCAAACCCCCTTCCCAGCATCCGAGTCTTTGGTGGATTTGGGTTTAGTAGTAATCATGGGCATGTCATGAGGCAAGGCACCTGTATCCCAGCGGGTGAACTACATGTTAAGACGCAGAGCAGGGCAGACCTGGCAGGGAAGAGGCGACGTCCCGCATACCCAGTACTCACTGATGACAGTCAGGCCCACTGAGAAGCCTAACACGGAATTCAAAATACGGACAGGATGGCCAGGGTCAGGGCCGAGGAAGTATCATCGACTACTACACAGCTTACTTGGTCTGTACATAGATAGTAAGGAGACTTAGTGTACACGCACAACGGAGAGTGGGAATGGGAGTGGAAACCGGCAGCTTTCCCTCCCTGAGGAGTCCTGCTGCCACAGTACATGGCATGTACTAAAGATGTAGGAGTCCAGGACAAGCCCAGGCCCTCTTGCGGGTGGAGAGCGACGAGTCGAGGCCCAAAGGCTGCAGCGGACAAAATGTGCTACTGCTGCGCAGTTACGTGGGACGTGGGACGTGGGACGTTGAAATGTTGCTGAGCGGAGGTCGCTGTGGAATGGGTGTCTGTCACTGGCTCTGCTGGGGTTGTCGCCCTGGTCACTACCGGCTTCTGGGCGGTCTGCAGAACGGAACAGTGGGCTGCCCTGCGAGGAGAGGAGGGGCACTCTATTGCGGCTGGGAAGTTCGTACTAAAGTACTGCCGCCAACGGGGGGGACAGACTTTTGGTGGTGACTCGTTCGTGGAGTTCTCTTGAAACGTTGTGTGGGTGGCAGAGAGGCACTTTTGAGCAGTTTGTCCGAAGTGGGCAGGATTTTTTTCCTGCACTTATTTCTACCTTACTCCTGATGCCGTATCTGTTTTGTTTAGTTGTTTTCGGCCCTCGCTTTTGCGTGTCAAAATCAAATAAAAATAAGAATTGAGGTTGAAGGCAGGGACACTTCTGATGTGGTACCGCGACGGGGGACGGCGACTAGGACGGTGCAAACTTCCTTCCCTCTAGTGTATGGCTGGGTAAGGTGCTTGCTTAACCCTGTGCTTAGGTATTTTGGCTTTGTGGGGCGCCGCCAGGAGGGATCAAAAGGGAGAGGCCTGGGCCACCTGGGCCACCTGGGTTCTGGGGGAAGGCAAAGAGGGAAGGAGCCTAACGAAGATAGGGATGGCCCAGCGACAGGAAGGGGTGGCCCTGCTGATGGGGGCTTCCAGCGAGATGAGACTGACGAGAAGAGGTGGGGCCTTGATTCCCCGCCGAGGGCTCTGAATCAATAAACAATTTACGGATAGAGAGACGTTGAGTCTCCAATGTCTCCATTGCCCTGACAGAGATTTCACACGCGCAGTAGGACCGCAAGGAACCAAAATAAGGTAATGGCCACACAGCTAGGCAGGCCGTGAGTGCTAAACGACCGTTGCAGCTTTAGTGTCCCGCTGCCAGCTACTGGGCATACATAGATGATTGACACACGCATGCCACCAGTTACAGAGAGCGGTATGCAATACTCACTACGATGTACCTGGGACGACCTCACGATCGGAATCTCATCGTCAACCCAGGCGCATTCAACTGACTGTCAAAGCTTCCTATACCATTGATGCATGCTTTGTTCGTGTATGAGGTGCTGATTACATGTTACCCAGCACTTCACAATGCCCTACATAGTATACTATATGCCGGATTTCACCGCGCTGGCAAGGCCCCTCTTCCCCTCTTCAGCCTTCTTCCGCTGTCGTCAAAAGTCTCACACGAGTCAAGCCCACGCTCCCCTCCTGCTGGTAACCTCCCAAAAATGGCTGAAGATGGTTCATCCATGGTCGCCGCCCGTTTGGCAGTCCGTGTGCGAACAGGTTGGAGCTCGGCGGAGGAGGAGCTTTGGCTCCAAACAACTGCACTGAACCAAGGTGCTTGGGGGAGGTGTAAAAAAAAATTTAGCAATTTAAAAAAAAAATAAGAAAAAAAATAAGAAATCTTAATTCAATAATAAACAACCGACAGCAGGATGAGAGAAAAGAAGAAAAACAAACAAACACGGATGCAAGGAACAACCTCCCATCATTGTCCTGTCAGATAGACCATTGAATCATTGCAGGCCAAGCGTCGGATTGGGAAATCCATTTAATTACACCCGTCCATCGTCAATGCCTGCTGCACCATCTCGGCCGTCGTCCCCGTGCCGTGATCTAACGATCTCGATATCCCTTTGCTCATCTCCCCAAAAGTCCCATTAATCCACATCCCGTTCGTGGGACTAGGAGGAGCAACAGCACCAAAAGTAAAGGGCCGTCGGGCAAATCCGCCGCCGAGGTACCTGCATTGGCATCTCCAATCCAGCGCCAACTGACAGATGCACCCCAGGGCCACTGGTTCCTTTATTGACTAAATTTCACTCTTTACATTGCCTGTCGGAAAAAGAAAGCATATTTATGACTTTGCATTCGACTTTCGCATTGCTGGGCTACTCAGCCAATTGTTCGACACCAGGTTTGCTGATTACAGGTGCAGCCACTGTAGCCGCATCTTCTATCATGTGTGGACAGAATACAAAGTAGTTCATTCTGGCATGTTTGCATTTTCCGTCTAAGGATCTAGGTAGGACCTGAAGCATTTCCACTCATCAATGTCGGCTTACCTACCATTACTTTAAACCGTTCAACTGTCTCATACAGTCCCTTCAACTGCTCGCGTGCTGTTCACAGGCCTCCCGGGTTTTCCTTGTTCAATTCTCTCATATCTCATATCTCGGACTGTAGTTCCAACTGTTATTCCATCGCCCTAGTACAGCCTGTTTCCGGCCGGTGGATCCCGCGCTGAGCCTTGGTGAACAGATTTTCGACTTGCCTTGCTTTACTCAACTTTGAGCAGCCAATACTACTATCAGAGAATCACTACATCATTTATTTATTTGTTCTTCCACTGTCATCGGGTTCCTCCTACACCTGATCTGGAGCTTCTTGTCACGTCGTGGTCGCAAGTTGCAGTTCCTTCCCTGGCCCAGCCCGAGCCCCAACTTCCGAAAGGGCAAAAGCCGCTGTCGATCCCTTCGCCAGCACCGAGCTAAGCCTCCTGCCGGATGGAACTGTACCGGTGCGTGCCGTCATGCCTTTGCATCCATGATTTCGTCGGTTCAATGGTGAGCCATTACGATGCATCCGTTCCAATGCAGCTTGGTGCCCTCTCGTAGGGCAGATCGCCAGAGACTCGCCTGCACTTTGACCTCTCACTTTTACTCCTTAATAATTTTTCTTCCCCCTCACTTGAAGCCCGTTCACACTCTTACCTGGAACGATACAACATCAAGGACCCAACTCTACCTCTGACACGCTTACGTTCGGCCGTCCCCGAGGTGGTATTGTCTCTTCGGGTATTTGCATCAGAATTATGACTACTCCGGTCGAGATAACTACAGATCAAACCTCGGTTTGTCTGTATCCCCTGGCACGCCACAGATGCCATGTCACTTTTAGACGTCTACCTTTAACACTTACCTGTAACAAACAAAGCTAGCCTTTTAGCTCCAGGCTCTTTTACAATGGCTGGTAGGCCCCGGAACAGTCATCCAATCTGCTCAAACACTAATCAATCAACCACAGCTGGCCTGGCACCTGCGCCAGTCCAGTTCAGCCCTTGCTCCTACGTCCGAAAGACCAAATTAAAGACAAAAGCAAAGAGTGATGATCCCAAGGGCAGGACAACCCAGTGTGAGTCACTGGTCGCTAATTGACCTCAGGGACGCAGCCAGTCGCAGAAATGCAGAGACGCAGCGCAATCCAATCCCATCCCAGTCCAGCCCATCCGACCTCCACAAAGCCCAGATGCTGGATCTTGCCGAACATCCATCGCTCCAACCACTTGTCATCCCCTCCAGGTCCATCTTCAGGGACTAGCGGGTCCTGGTGGCTCCAAGATACCCCATCATTACTTTTCACCCAAGGACCCTTCCCAGCCACTTGGCGGTATTCCGCAGGTACCTTCCTTGGAGTCGCCAGTGAAAATGTTCCACTCGACAGCTTCCACCCCCACAGCTACCCAATGACGTCGTGTACCTCTGTCTTCGACCACGATGCCACCGTCCCCGCCAAGTTTATGTCAACGGCCTTCAGGGCTCGAAAGAGCTTGTTGCCCCGACGCTCTTCCCGGCTTCTGTCACCTCCCGCTCTTCCGTCCAATATCGGCGTCTGCCGCCCACGGCCACCGCTTATTACCACGCCACACTCTACGTACCATTGAGACCCTTCATGATGCCGTCAATGAGCTGTTCCAGCCAATACCGGGTTTATCCCGTTTCCATAATTAGCACCAAATCCTTCCATCATGCAGGGACGTAGAGAAACCTTTCCACGTCAGGATGCAGTGTTGCCTCACCACCAGCCTGGAAGCTGCGAGTCTCGTGTAGTTACCATAAACTTGGATTTGCGGAGGAGAAAGTTCGCCTCCTGCACCATTTTGCCATGACTTACTCCTCGTAACTGCAATGCGCACATTTCAGGCAAGTCAGTCGAATTGCACATGGCATACAACCAGTCAGTCGAACCTCGTCGTCTAATTCCCACCTGGCCCCAGATAATCCAAATAGCAATTACTGCCCTGTTTGCCATGGCATTTCCGGGAAGCTTGCAACAGAGGCAATGGGTTGAAGAGAAACTGATCTACACAAATCTGCAATGGGATTGCAGATAGTGAAACAAGCTAACTATTGAAACGGAAGGTTTGTCCCGTGTCTGCAAGGCTGAATGGAATGGCGGCCATGTGTCCATACGAACCCCCAACACCATGACAGTTTGCCGTCTGGGATAGGCAGCAGCAAATCCACATCTGAACCTGTTATTCCTGACAGCGAACGCGGGGTAGAAGGGAGAAGAAGGAGGGCATAGCCACCACCGCCAACATCATGCGCGCACAACGTCTCATGTTGCTGACGCTTTGGATACGCGGTTTTGCACACGCTGAGAGGCTCGTGAGGTAGTCGGGCTTGTTACCCGCCATGCGTTTCGAAAGATAATGGGCCTAAAGCATCGCCAATGCCACGCGCCCACATGGACTAAGCACCATATTTTTTTTTATTTTTTTTTTACAAATTTCTTTTTTAAATCATCTCCTCCCCCTCTATGGACCAGTTGTCCGATGATTACAGGTTACGTGGGCCTGTACGAGTGATCGGCGCCCACCGGAAGGGGTGAAGCCTGTTTATGGAGATGACATTTCAATTACCATTCATGTGATGCTAGACAGCGTGGCAATACGAAATTTCTAGATAGTACATTAGAAATAAAGGTACCCAAATCGTGCTTTGTCATGGACAGAACTATCCGAAACGTGGACCTAGTCCAAGCTAGATGCAATACTTTCATTCCCTCTAGTATTAGCTCCATCACAGACGCGGACAGGTTTGACTGCACTTGTCCAGGATAGAGAGGTTTGACGCATCCAAAGACCAGTACTCTTCAATTAAAAACACTTGATCTGTCCACATTTGCATCTAAACTATGCCCATGTCCTTCGATGTGCCTGGTTCAGTCGCGGGTTCCTTAAAGTGAGCAAAATATCGATGAACACGTTCGGAGCGAGCTCCGTAGGGTTGATAGCTTAGCCCAGAAAGCCGCAGGTGCCTAGTAAGTGTGACAGGCGCATTTGTATTGAGGATGTCGTTAATGCAATTATCCGCCGCGCGACCATAAACAGAGGGAAATAGCATTGGCGACTGTCCAAGATATAAGGACGGTTGGGGTTCTTGTAGCTCTGAAGCGCATCAATATTGACAAGTTCCTCTTCGTAAGAAGGAAGCCACAGTCTCCATATCGTGAACATGTGTAGCTTATGACAATGTATGCGAAGTTTGCAACTCGCAGAGCCGCTTGCTAACACCTTGATTCCAAGCCCGTGTACCTTGCAAAGACAGCGTATATCACTCTTATCTTGAACCTTCCAACCATAGAATGTCTTTGAGGAGTGCTGGCCTAAGGATCATGCATGATGTAGGGTGAAGCCTGGCTTATTCTCGTAAACACTTATTCATCAACTCTTTGTCCATTATAGTAAGTATTAGACTCCTCGGCTTGCTGCCTTCTATTCTACGGCTCATAAATACAACCAGAGCGGCTCAAAATAAAGATAATAGCTACCCCAAAAGGCAATCAAGACAATCAAGTTTAGCCGAATGCCCACCTTCGTATTTTTTATGTCGGATAAAAAGAGGGAAAAAGAATAGAAAGTGGCTGAGACGAAAAATTTACAGCTGAATGAAAACCCAACTGCCTCACCAACGTGTTGCTCTTTGGCAGGGTAAAAAGGGGGGGATCGGATGCTTCTAGACACTCGTATGAGATTGAGGACGGGGATGCGTTAAACCTCCATGGGGGGAAACCCCAGAGCTCAATCTCAGTGAAGACAAAAGCAACTTCCTCAGATCAGCTGGTCTCAATTGGACCAAGGCGCAGACGCGAGGGTCAGAGACTGGTCAGCTGACAACCTTTTTTTCACGTGTCCCTGACTGATGACTTGAAGGTTCCTGGTGGCGGAGTCTGGATTTAGACATCAGATTCCGACAAGGGTATCCAAAATCCCGGAAGCACATCTCGTTTATCTATCCAGGGAGTGGTACTATGAACAAGGACGAATTGGGATGAGATGAGTTGCGTCTGGGAAAGACGGGCTCTCTACATTTGTAATTTACAGCAATGGATACGTAAACCTGGAGTACCAAACTGGCCCGTGCGTCGGCACATTTGGGAGTGGGAGAGCTTCAGCCACGGTGGCTTGACCCCCCTCTACGAACGACATCATCAGCTTCAGACACCTTGTCCACCAAGTGCCCAAAAAGAAAAAAAAAGGTCGGTTTTCGCACAAAGTATACACCAGGCACGCTTCAGAAATAGAGATACAAAGGGGCTAGGTAGGCGACGCATAAATGGCAAGATTATCATCGGCATCGCACCACGCGCCCAGCAGCGTGTCCCCAGAACGGGGCGTCGCCGAACTCAGCCAGCTCCTCCGTCGGCTCGATCAGACAATCCTCCATACAGATGAGGTTCGCGAGAAGAGGCTACGTGCTAGCGAGTTCGAGCGCGCAAGGCTAAACTCGGTATGTTTCTCTCCAAAAGCATTGCGTCCAAGAAGAAGAGCTTAGCTGACCTCCGCGAAAGAATTTGGAATATGCCAGAAGCCTCCTCACCCGCGTCGAGCAGGAGACACTGCATGTCAAGACTCTCTCCCGCAGGCAGGAGATACAGGCAGATCTGAACCGTAAGCGGGAGATACTTGAGAGACTGATGGATAGGATGCATGATCTCGAACAGGTACGTTGTGGGATGTCATGACCTCCCGTGGACAATTCGCTGACAAGGGACCTTCCATGGAAACAGCTACACGAAGATGACGACGGAAATAGCTCTGACGGGGAGGATATTCTCTCCGAAATCATCCCCACGCCGAGCGAGAGCATGGACTCGAGGTCAACAGACATACCCACCGAAGACACTGGCGACCAGGACGAGGAGGAAGAGGCTCTGAATCTCCCGCCGCCCGTCGCCACATCCTCTACTGCTGCGCCGGCCCCGATGGCAGAAGCACCACCACCGGCGGCAACAGAAACAGCAGAGCTATCGCCACAACAATCGATAGAAATGGGCACAACAACATCTCAAAATCTCCGTTCCCGCGGAGCGAGGCCACCATCTCCGGCATCAACATCCACAGCAACAGCTCGCGCGGCGCTATTTGCCTCCCGGCGAAGCAACACCATCAAATCCACAGCATCGGGCCCGGCGACATCAACAGCAACGGCGGAGGCGATACTGGACCAGCAGCGCGCAGAACAGGACGCGCTATCGGAGTCGATTCTCAAGATGGCGAGCTCGTTGAAGGCCAGCTCTCAGCGATTCTCAAACACCCTGGAGCAGGACAAGAACGTGCTTTCGAGGGCGGGCGAGGGCATGGAGAAGACGGAGCGCGGGATGGACGCTGCGAGCCGGAGAATGGGCACGCTGCGGAAGATGACGGAGGGCAAGGGATGGTGGGGTCGTATGATGCTGTACGCGTGGGTTTACGGACTCATGGTCGCATTGGTTCTGTTGGTCTTCGTGATGCCCAAGCTGCGGTTCTGAGCGACGGGGAATTTGGCACAAGACGGAGGGAGGGCTTCATTGAAATCATCTTAGGCGGGCGTTTTCGGGCTCCGGCTGGGCGGACTGCATAAGCGTCGTTATGAAAAAATGCGGGATTGGTCTTGTTTGGAATCAAATCGCTGAACTTATTTTTATTTTCGTGCCTATGAAAACAACGCTGAAAGGATTTAGTGGTCGCTGGATATAACGTTCCGCCTGATTCTAGATGCGAAATTGTTGCCATCCAAGACCATGTAACTCTCTGAAATCTGTTAACAACTTCTTCATTGCGAGATCGTCTATTTTGAGTTCTCGTCATCTTCCGTAGCGAAGAGTTGACGTTTTGAATGACTGCCAACTTCTCCCCCTGGCCATCGCCTTGGACCGATGATTTCCACTCGGGCACCATGTCCTCAACAGTCTCGAGCAGATTATTGTTCTCCAGACACACAGACTCTGTTAATGATGTCTTCAAGGATATCCTTCATCACTGTTTCGATTTGGATGTCGTCGGGTAACTCGTCCCCAAAGAGCTCGAACCAGAGTGTACGGAGCTCAATGTTCTGGCGGACACACTCGTCATAATTGAGGCCTTTGGTTAGGTTACCGCCCACAGGTTTGCCTCGAGTCTGGTATGGATTGTTAGTGAACCAACAATTGGGGAGAGAAGAGTAATCTCGGCCACTTCTATATCATCATCTGATAGTCAAGCAGGAGACTGGGTCGGCTTACTGGGGGCAAATAGCTGAAATGCATCCTCTCTCCGGTCCCGGCTTTAAGAACTCGATCATACCAATTGTACTTCGTTTTGAGTCTAAAAAAGTCCTTGAAGCGATTGTACTCTGGTTTGAACGTGCTTGGCGTCGTGCTGGTGCGTTCAACCCCGCGAGGACGCCAGACGCCGTCGCCCTTTTTCTGGAATAACCTCGCACCGAACCAATATAGATGAGGTTTGGCATGGGATTCGAAGAGCTTGTTTATGTCAAAATAAGCAAGGCATCAAAATATGACTAGAGCCGTTGGGGTTACGTGCTTGGACTTACAAAGAGCTCGTATTTGTCATGGACGGCTCCGTCCTCGTTCTTAAATGTCCGGTACAGCTGAATTTCATAGCGGAAGTGATGCTTGTCAGTGAAGATGTGATAGAGATCTACCCAAGACGGCTGTCAGTAGAGGCTCTAAATAATGGTGGTTTATCATTGGGAGTTTGCTTCGTTACCTGGATTGATCCATGTCTCTCCGAGTGCCGTATTTTGAGCCCTGCGTTCCTCCTGGCGTTGCTTTTTGATTTTTGCCAGCTCTTTGCGTCGGATGGATTTGAAGTCATACTCCGTCTCTCGGAGCTTCTTGTTGCGGGTACAAGAAAAAGTGAACCAGTCCACATGAACGATATGGACTTTTCTCTGGTCCTTGCTCTGGGCCCTTTTGACTGCATCAAAATTGATTAGCCTGGTCAACAATCTAGAAGAAAGTTTGTCAAAAGAAGAGCACTTGACTCCCAAAAACAGTGTGCAGTTGGCTCATGGTTGAAATACTCCGTTGATTGCTTTGTCTGGCTTTAAACTGATCATTTGTGCAGAGAAGATGAGTTACAGTCTCATCCATGTCAAGCGAAAAGCGACCTTTACGGAGCTCAGTCCAGCTCTTAAGGTCTTCGATCTTATGCTCGTTGGGACCAGCCGCTGCGAGAACAAGGTTTTTGAAAATCGCCTTGACCATCTTGGGCTGCTATTAGAGTGGTAGATGCAAAGGGTGATGACTTGGCCCAGCTTGATATAGCTTTTCAGTTCGATATCATAGACTAAATGACGGAAATAACACAGCTGAGGTATTATAGCTGAGATGGAAATAGTAGATACGTGGCATGAGAAGTATCTGAAGAGATAGAAGTCTTATACAAATGTCGGAGATTTTTGCCTTACACGATGATAAGAAGGATCGCCAGCGCGTCGCTTCCGGCCCGAAAATCTCTATCTACCTAATTAGGCAGGGCCCAGAAAGATACGGGCAGCTGCGATGTGGATACAAGCAGTTTTGTCTTGTCCAAAAGGGAAAACCAGGAGACTTTAAAATGCAGCAAGTGCATGTAATCTCGAAGCATTGTGAGTGTTGACAAAGATTTCGTCTCAGCAATGTTAAATTTATAGGATGAGGGCTCCTACAGTTGATGTAGTAACTTGCGCTACCAGGGATTTAGATGGTTGTTGTAAATACAAGCAAATTAGGGCATTTGGATTACCTGAAAATATGCTTCGTTAGTGTCCGCATATTGTGACATCTTGCAAGGCAAACAGGACAGAAAAGGAAAGTGTTGTTTTGCCCAACAAGCATTACATACTAACGGTAATTCAATTTCTTATTGACAATATACAGAGGCATAACCCTGTTCACTTGAGACGCACAAGTCTTGTGTTGCGTTAACCAATTCTACTGCTCAATAAACCCCATTTTACCTAAAACCCTTAGCATTTTTGACAAACGTCCTGATCTTCTCCAGGCTTTGCTTGCCATCCTCCTCCACACCACTGCTTACATCGACACCAACAATGCGGTTACCGAACTCACCCACTGCCTTGACTGCCTCAATTACGTTTTCAGGGTTCAGACCGCCAGCAAGGATAACCTGTAGCTCGGGGTCCTTTTTCAGGACGTCCTTAACGCTTGATACATCGAGAAGCTTGCCAGAACCGGCACCGGAGTCAAGCAGCGGGATGGTATGATAACCACGCAGACCAAGTCCAATTGAGTTGGGCTTGAATGCTCGGATGACAGGAACAGGAATCAGGTTAGCCCATTCAATCGGCTCGTTGCCGTGGAGCTGAACGATGTCAAGGTTGAAGCGCTTTTGTTTTTCGAGCACCTCATCCAGGGATTGGTTCTGGAAGATACCAGCCAGAAGGGGGCGAGAGCTTGATAACCTAGACACGGAGGCTGTGTAATAGTCTGTGGCAGACTTTGCGGGTATTCTCGACTCCGCCCGAGGGGTTGAGGGCTTGTATGAGTGAACAGCTTCTGAAATCGCCGCCGCCGTCTCGTCGGATATGCAGCGCTTGGCACCTGGAACCAGGCAAATGCCGACAAAATCAGCACCCGACTTCACGGCCTCAAGTGCTGCTTCAGGGGTCCTTGTGCCACAAATCTTAACAAATAGCGGTTGAGTCTTAACGGGCTCAGGCTCAGCGTCCGTTCCAGAACACAGTTCTCTAATGAACTTAGTAGTATCCGGGGCCCTGACGATGGCCTCTCCAACTAGAATGGCATTGATACCGTCCTTCTTGCACAGCTGAACATCCTTGTGGCTGTTGATACCACTTAAAGCGCAAATGATGGTGTTCTCGGGTACCATGCTCCTCAACCTGCTCGTCGTATTCATGTCGACCTCGAAACTTTCCAAGTTGCGGTTGTTAACACCAATAGCCTTGGCACCGAGCTTCAGAGCAGTTGTCATTTCCTCTGCGTTCTGCACTTCCACCAATGGCTCCATCCCCAATGATAGGGAATATTTGTATAACCTCTCCAACAACTCTGTCTCTAGCATCTTGACAATCAACAATACAGTGTCGGCACCCGCTAGCCTTGCCTCAAGGATCTGGTATTCCTCGAAGATGAACTCCTTACGGAGAATTGCTGGTCTGTTGGGCATGCCGTTCAGTACTTGTCTGACGGCACGAAGATCCTCTATGCTGCCCTTGAACCATTCCGGCTCAGTGAGGACGGAGATGACACTGGCACCAGCGAGGGCATACTTCCGAGCCTGGGTGGGAGCGTTGATGTTAATGTCAAAGACTCCCTTGGAGGGTGAGGCTCGTTTGATCTCTGCCATAAGGGAGACGTCAAAGGGGGTCTGGCGTAAGCGGTCGACGAACGAAATTTGAGGTGGAGCGGCATTAAGGTCATACGCAGCCTGTAGATCCGCAGGTCTTTGCGAAGGGATAAGCTTCTGAGCAGCAACTGACGCTTTCCTGTTGGCGTAGATTTGTTGTAGAATGTTGTTCTTCTTAGCAGGAGCAGGAGCTGCTGCCTTGGGGTCACCGCTTGTTGCAGAGCCCTTTTGTAGACGAGCATTCTCCTCCCAGGTGCCGCCCTGAAGGTTCAAGAAATTTCGGAGCATGGTGCGACCTTCGGCGGTGAGGATACTTTCGGGATGAAACTGAACTCCCTCAATCGTGTATTCCTTGTGACGCACGCCTTGAATGATGCCTGGGGAACCATCTGCAGTGGCAACCCAAGAAGTGACCTCCAGACAGCTTGGGAGAGTGACGCGAGTACCAGCGAGAGAGTGGTATCTAGTGACAGGAAGTCCTTGACGGAGGCCAGCATAGACACCCTTGGCATCATGCGTCAGAGGAGACGTCTTGCCGTGAAGCCATTCTCCTGCGGAACCAACCTCTCCCCCGTAAACATCGAAGATGCACTGCTGACCCATACAAACCCCGAAGATCGGGATCTTACCGGCAAAGTGCTTGATAGCATCTCGACTAACGCCGGAGTCAGTTTCGGGATGTCCAGGTCCAGGGCTGATTATGAGTTGCGTTGGCTTCTTGTCAATCAATTCAGGAAGCGTGATTTTGTCATTTCTGAAGACTGTGACGTTGGCACCCTCGAGGATGAGATATTGGTAAACGTTCCAGGTGAAGGAGTCGTAGTTATCAATGAGGATCAAGTTGGACGCCGTCGGGATCGGTGGCGACGGGTCCGGATGGTGGGGTGAATGGTCAATGATATCAAGGGACGGCATCTTGAAAACACACTCGAGCCCTCAGAATCGAGTCAATTGAGATCTCGCAATCCTTTCTCCCGAATTCTCTCGCGGACGTGAGTGTCAGTCAAGAAGGTTGTGAGGTGAGATAGGTTGTAGTGAGTCAAATGAACGGTTTAGAGTAAGTTGAAAAGGCGGTTGAATAGAGTGCAGGTCCTACAGTCAGTCGGAGTTGAAACCCCACTGTACAAGTAGTACAAATTTGGTGGCAAATCACAGTGTGCACCGGTTCCGGAGGCAAGGTACTCAAAGCTGCCCCGCCGCTATATCATCCCGGCCGCCGGGGCTACCTATTTGGTCAAACTGGCAAACCCCAGACTCGATAATCTTCCCTATACCTTATCTGCATACGTTAGTTCAATTGTCCTACTGTCTACGTGATAATCTTTCTCTTTTAATGTGTTATTTCTAAACTTCCAGTTTACCACATAGATAAAACTCAGCAGTAGAATATCAAAGATAGTAAGACCTAGTTCCAGTCTGTTTGGCACCTGCGCCTCAGGAGGGAGCGGTACGTACCGACTGCATAGAACGGCCACTAGAGCGAAAATGGCTAGCGTGTGCAATCGGAAAAACCCAGGAACTGGAGCTCCCAAAAAAGTGAGCTTTAGCCAACCACCATCAGAAAGGCTGCAAAAGCATTCGCGGGTCCAAGTATACAGGCGCGTTGCTTTGCTTTCCATCTCGCATCCCAGGCAACACAGCTCATCACAGCCTCGCCTGATGCAGTCTGGACCCTGATCGCTTCGCCCAATCGACCTCTGCGGCAATGGCGAAAGTGGCAGACCGTCTGTATTTTCCTCCTCTGGAGGAAACTCTGAATGGAGACAACATCATTATGTGGGTAGCCCTACTATTTGTTGACTTCGTGATGCCGAGCAACTGACATTTGAAACAGCTCCTGGAAGCTCGTTGCAGCTGCCCTAGCCGATAAGGACGATGCAAGACGAAATAGTGAAGCTGTCGTACAGTTTCTGCAAGACGACTATGTGCGATCTCTCATAAAAGACCCAGCAACTGCCTTTGCGCCGCCAAGCGATTCTACGAAGTCCGACTTCGAAACGAAAACGGCTGCCATTCATGTTCCTCCCACACCAAATGACAAGTTTGACATCAAGGTCATTAAGGATGATGCGCAATGGTTGAGCAAGAACGCCAGGGTCAACCTCGTCGCTGCGCTTCGAGCTACTGTGATTGAATTCCAGTCTCGACCAGCAAGTCACCTTACGGGACCTCTTTCCACCCAAGATGCCATCAACTTGCAAGAAGCTGCCGGAGTTTCCACTGCTCAGTCTTCATCTTTGGTCCCACTATCTGGTACTGCGCTGGATGCTGAAGCCATCTGGGCTGAATTCGAGAAGGACGAGACAAGGCGACAAAGGATTTTCCAAGCATATCTTGCTGAAAGGCGCTACTTCCTGATGACTGCCGATTTGGTCCACGAAAACCTTCTCTTTGCACAACCCTCGCCAAAGATAACGACGGGTGACGGTCCATCAACGCCCCCGAGGTTACTTTCCTCTGACGACCGCCCAGAATACCTCGCCAAGCTCTTGACGACTTACCTCCAGTTTGTTACTGACTCTGCTGGCCGACTGGCCGAAGGTCTTGGCTCAGTTGTGGATGATAAGAGCCTCCTGGTCGAGGAACTCGAACTTGAGTGGGTACGGACAATCTTGACCGAAGTTGTCCACGCGTTGTCGGTCGTTTTCCAGGCGGTAGATGCCAACGGCGATGCTTTCGTACCATGTGCAGTAGTTGGACAATGGTTCTCACTGATGGATGGCTACGGATTTTTCAGCGGCATTACTGCGGTAAGTTTGCAAATCTGCGTACATATGAAAGCAAAGCTGACCCAAATTAGCCGAACGATAGCATTGCTTCTCTTGTAATGCCTCTAAGATCTCTCATATCTGCAATTTCGTTGAAACTGCTTAATCCTTCGAGGTCTATAGAGTGTCTTCTGGAGGATTCACCCGAGTTTCGTGGAGACGAAGATCCTTACATCACTGCCCCTTCTGTACTAGAAACGGTCCATAACGCAATCTTGACGGCGGCAAATGCCGATTGCGAGAGCCAAAGCCCTGTTATTTTCGCTTGGACAGTCATCGTTCACCGCATGTTCGTTTCTCATCACGAGCGCATTGAGAAGAGAGATGCTTTGCAGAATCAGCGTTCTCAGGAGACGTTTGAGGCCGGTGTACTCATCCGGCCAACCACAAGCCGCCGACTTTCCGCAGGCAGTATCGTATCGCTTGATGGCAAATCCTTCGATATCTTCCTCACAGGTGCTGGTCTTGACAAAGACATGCAGGTCGTGGAACAGCTTGCTGTAGCTGTCACATCTCACGGACGGGCTTATGAGGTGGTATCTGAGATGGCGCTGGCCATCGGTGTCTCGAGTGAAGCGGCCTTTTCACCTCTTCTGAGCTCCAGGATACGAATTGCTTATGTTGATTTTCTCAAAGCTACATACCCCCTTGTAGGGTATCAGTCGGACTCAGTGACGTCTCTCCTGTCAGTTTTATCAGCAGGTCAGCAGTATTGGGATCTCTCGAAGCCCGTACTTGCTCCCTCAGACGACATTCTGGGATTAGTTCTCCAGGATGCTGCTGCTATGGAATACTACTTCCACCAGGCACTGAGCCGTTACCCATTTGAACTTCTTCCTTTCCTCAACATTTGCCGTGCGTTGGCGAATTGCACAGTGGCTGACGGCCGGTCGGATATTGTGGTTAACCTGTTACGGAAAACCCCGACACTGACGTTCATCCTGCCAGACGATTATCAAGAATATGAGCTGGCGTCGGAGGAGGACAATACCAACACTTTCTACCTTCTCGAGGATATTCCACTTTTCACACCTGCTACGGCGTGGAACCGGAGAACTCGACTTGACGACGCCTTCAGGTTACCAGCAGAAACATATGGACGTTTTGTTACAGATACTGGGCGAGTCGTTCTCATGGAGTACGAGCACTCCGCCCTTGCTCTCTTGGGTAAAAGACTGGAGGTACAACTCGCGCCCGAGACTTACCGTAGCGAGCTGGACGGATTCCAGCCCGAGGAAACATCCGAAACAATCTCGCTGCTTTCTACTCTCCTACGCGCAGAGGTGCTCAAATCTGAGCAGCAAGGCCTTGGCGGCGAGGACTCCCTCAAGTCCGGATTGGAACTGTTGGAGGAAATCGGGAAACATATATCCGGCAACAAAGACCTTGTTGCTGTCATCTGCGAGACCATGGACATCTATATGCAAGACGATAAGGTGGCAGATGGTCAGGGCATTACTGTGCTCAACTCTTGCGTCCAGTTCTTGCACGCCGTCCTACCCCTATGTCCAACTAGGGTTTGGTCTTACCTTGCCCGTTGTGAGCTTCTCAACTCTGAAGCCCAAGCCGGTAAACTGGCAAAGATCACCGGAAACCTAGATCTTGTTGGTGATCGCTTTGACCTCCTGCTTTCCTCTGTTCGCCTCTTCACCAGCCTTATTGACAGCGTTAAGGTCAGCGCGGTCCAACGAAAATCAGGCAACAAGCTTGTTGGACGTCAGAAAGTATCTAACAACGTCTGGCTCGGGGTAGCAGACAAGGTACTCGGCAAAGTCAGCCTTGCTATTGCCCAGGCTGCTGTAGACGTTTTTGAAACTTCGTCAACATGGCGATTTTCGTCAGAGTTGCATCGAACTCTACTCATTCGTCACGTTGTTCCTGTTATGGACCGGATCATCTCTTACACCTACGGAATGGGCGACCGGGAGAACTCTGAGACCCTCACGGCGTGCTTGGAGCCTGCCGCATCTTATATTATTGATTCATTCCTCTCGCCTTCAACGGGGTCTCTTAGATTCCAGCCGCTGCTTGCAACTCTTGTCAATGGCCTACAAATACCCGATTCAACTCTTTACCAGAACCGGTTAGCTTCTGCACAAGAGCAGCTCACCTCAACGTTGAAGTTTACCACAACACTGTTACGTGTTGCAAACCTCCTCGAACGACCCTCAGCAACTTTTGAAGACCATCTCTTCAAGACGTCTTCAATCCTTGCAAGGCTATGCGCGATTTGCGAGCAATTTCGACGACCCGCGCTCTTGCTCCTGGAAGCCTTGGTTCTCAGTGCAGCCAAAGCCAACGACGATCCACCGTCATTATTGGGCTACCTCGGCCCATTGTTATCTCGATCATTTATTCAGGTCCTTTCACGACTCAATAAGCCGTTCCTCGTCAGCAGAGATGTGCAGACCACGTGGAAGTTCTTTTCGACCATTGTGCAGAACCGCCAGACATGGCTTTCCAACTGTCTTCTGACCGGCAAGACGCCTAGAGATGCCCTCAAAGGAGGAAAGAAGGATTCTTCATCTACAGCCAACTCGGTTCTTGCGATGGCATTCACGAAGCTCCGAAAGATCAATGAATTGGATATTTCAGAGGCACTTCGCATCCTTGACTTCGTGGCATCCTCCCAGAACCACTGGCCTTGGACCATCTTCACGATGCAGAAGGACTCGGCGTTCCTCGACGCCTTGCGTTTGTACATCAAGAATGTGAGCAGTTTCACCGTAACCAGCAAGGCAGACGCTGTCAAGGCTGCCATTGACGCAAAGATGGCGGCTTATATTGCCGAGATTTTCGCCATGCAGCTCTATCATCTCCGTCAAATGGGTGGCGCGGATGCATTTGCCAAGAGCTTAGTCCCGGATCTTGATTACTATCTTAGGGACGGCGTTGAGGTCTCAAGCTACAATAACTCTCTCCATGCCAACTTCGCCAAGAACTTCTCAAGCAAATACCCTGGCGTTTCCCTTGAAGCCTTCAAGCGGACATCATTGAGGCCTGGCGAGCTTGGCAGAAGTTACTTCTACGACTTGGAAAGTGCAACTGAGATGTTGAGTTTTGACCCAGGCTGGCATGGCCGTCGTAACAACGGTTTCCGTAATGAAATGGGCATCGCCAACGCAAACCTATCCCTTGTTGATGCACAGATAGTAAGTCTCAAATCCTCATTGCCCAAGTCAGCGCTAACCCTTTGCAGTCGCTGTTTCATGCCTGGGAGTTCCTTTTGCTCGAGTTGAGCAGTAGTTTGCCTGACAACGAGACTATAGCCAAGCAGATGCGTCAAGTTGCTCAACAGTGTCTGGAAGCAAACCGATCCAACCAGGGTCCCGAAAACATCTTCATGCGGATTGTGGAGGAGCGTGCTGACCTTAGTCTTCTGCTTGTCCAGCGACTGGTTGGCCGTCCAATCTCTTCTCATGAGGTAAACCAGCTTTTGGGAACTCTCTTCACAATCGTCAATGGCGTTGAAGAGCCCTTCAACCCGGAGTCGATCTCTTACTACCGGACCATGCTCAAGACTATCTACGTCACCTTGCGCGCTTACAGTGCCGCTGAGAAGAAGTCTTTGGGGGCTTCTAAGAACGGGGGCGACGGGTTTTCTGTCGCTCTGACCCAGACCATTCTGAATCTTCTGGACCGTGTAGTTGCGAAGGGTTTCAGAACACTCGTAACACTTGTTCACGACACAGGGGCCGCCGTTGCTCCCGAAGATTTGGCGCTTCTAACCGCAATCCTGCAAGCTTGCCTCAATATGCCAACGATCGATCAATGCCAAACGCAAATTCTCAACATCATGGCCTCTTATGAAGCCATGCACGCTGCGACTTCGCTATTCTCGTGGGCTGACAAACTCGCTGTGAACGGAGACCCTGTTTACGGTGAGCTGAGCTTGTTGTTCCTTCTAGAGCTTTCGACGCTGCCAGCCGTAGCAGAACAGATGGCATGCGACGGTCTGTTGAGCCATCTGACGTCGGCAGGCGTCACTAACTTCATGCGACGCGGAAACATCTCACCCTTCTCGGAAGCTGTCGGCCCTCAAAGATGCTACAGCATCTGGGTGAAGGGCGTCCTTCCGCTGCTATTGAACCTGCTGACGGCCTTGGGCGGAACTGTCGCGCCTGAAATCGCCTACGTCCTGAATCAGTTCCCTCTACTCCTCAAGTCGAGCGTCGATCGGTTTGAGGCACCGGGGGCCAGCCGGACGGCTTCACGAGAGGCACCGCACTATGTGACGCTCCTTTCCGTGTCGGAAGTCCACTCGCTCGCACTTCTGACAAGGGTTATTGCCGCGCTAAGGACAGCAAATATCAGAGACATCCCCGAGATTCAATGGGATGCTGCCTCGTTGTTGGAGAACATTGACTTTTGGCTGTCGAGCAGGAAGTTGCTTCGCGACAGACTCTTGCCACTGGGTCAACGCGAGGTCGAGTGGAAGAGCACCAAAACCGGCGCGTCCGGTGAAAACGGACAGCCAGAAAACTTGCTTGAGAGCAAGGTGCTTTCGCAACTGGAAGCAGTGAGGGATGTATTGAGTGAAGATTTGGAGGAGGCCTAATGGAGAAGCACGCAGATAGTAGTCATGAAATGAGAGGCCCCTAGGTCAAGGGAATGAATTGGAGGGGGTCAAGATAAAAAATGGTTCCGGCGTTGATGTGTATAGGATGAAAGTGTACATTTTCCAGCAACCACTGGATATCATTTGGCGTAGAATTAAACCAGCGATACCTCAGCTTCTGCTGGGAACAATTATGAACTCAAAGGCGCCTGCACACACCTCTTGATTTTGCCACCATATAAAGTGAAATAACAAGTTGGGACCGAGAATTGTGGAGTAGGATTTATATTCGTTTCTCCCTACATCTGGTGTTCTTTCCACACCCACAAATGCCATGCCACGTCTATCCACCATCATTTGAACAAGTATTATACAGGAAACCTCCCTCGCGGGTGCCGATATCAAACAAGACTGGGCCACTCGCTGGTTTCATTTGCCATGTCCACGAACCATGTTGGTGGAGTCGCATCCCAGTGCTCCAGCCGTTTCTCCTGTGCTGGCTAGTATTACACATGCGCGCAAGCTGAAGCCATCCGTCCTTCAGTCGCAAGTAGCATTCCATTTCGGTCTTCATTTCCCTTTGCTTTTGGGTGTCAATTGCCAGTTTGCTGTTGTAGCATTTACTGGTTCTGCATCTGGGCCGTCATCTGGGCGTTGTGCTCCTGGAAGCGCTCGCTCAGGCGCTGCTGGGAAAACATCTGCTTCTGGACGCAGCGAGAGATGCAGCCGGTCTCGCGGGAGGAGAGGGACTTTGAGGTGAAGTCGTCGATGCAGGAGACGAAGCAGTGGTCAACAAGGTTGCCGAAGAGCTGTGGGTAGTTGATGTCAGTTATGCAATTCTTTTCACACACAGATGTAGTCCATGTCGAAGGGACATCGTTCAAACGGAAAAGATTTTGTCAACCCGGCTGTTGCAGAATGAGAAGAACTTACGTTCATGAACTCCTTGACCTGGCGCTTCTGCAGTCTCTGCTGGAGCTGAGTCTCCTCGGCCTTGGTAAGGCTGTTTAAAGTGATGCACGTTAGCCACTACTTCTCTCCCCAGTTTTTAGACTATTTCACCGTGTAGGTTAAACGTACGCGTCCATTTTGATTTGACGAAGTTGAAAGAGAGTTGCTGAAGGTCGACTGTTTACGGGCGTGGAGGCTGATCGTGAGCTTTGATGTTGGTGGAGGATGCGTTGTTAGACGATGACGATGAAATTTCTTTGGAAGAGATCGACTTTCGGGCCCCGACTGCTCTTCGCTGCTCTCCCAGCATGCGCGGCTGCCAGAAAGCTTGCTTCCCCTGGCTAGTATCAGCCAATGATTGGCAGGCTTCAGGTCCTCGATGGAGCTATGATAACGATAAGGCTTTACTGAGGGATTGTATGTGAACTTGAAGTAGTCAGCTCGGTTACATGCATTCGATCATTCATTCATGGGTATGTCGTATCCTGAATTTGATTAGGAAATTGCTGCTCTCCGAAGCCTAGCTAGTCATACCACTAAATCAATTACCCAACCCACATCAGAAAGAATCCATTCCATCGTTTTTGTTTTCCACGGCGAAAAGAAAGCTCTTAAGCGAGAAAGCAAAGATGAAGGATGACAAGTCAAGATAATAGCTCGCCCAGTTGCTACAGCTTATCTAAGCAAGTGTTGAGAATGTGAACCTCTGGGCCGTGCTGTCACACCCACAGCGAGTGAGTGGGACCTGCCAACGACCAACAGCTTCCTCCCGTCTCAACCAACAGAGCTTTCCCGACTGACCCCAACTCCTCACCACCACCATTTCCAGCTGACGCCAGCTGCCCGCTTGCAACGCCACTCATCACCGCCAGCCCGGCCACAGGCACTCCCTCAGTAGTAGTCCACATCGCAAGAGGAGCTCTCACCCGCGCCTTGTTTCCCGATTACCCCATGAGTGCCCGAGGCGGAAGCCGACCACCTCCTCGAGGCCGCCCAAACAAGGTGACGAAGCCTGCCACCGCCGGCCTCAAACGCGACGCCCACGCCCTCGTCCGCGCCAGCGCCGCCTCCAGCCGCCACTCCTCCGCCGTCGACCAGCAGCTCGAGCAGCTCGCTCACGATGCTGAGGCCGAGGCCGAACACGAAGATGACGACGAGATAACCGCTCCTCCACCACCCCCTGGTCCTTCCTCCACTCCCCAACAGCAACATCATCACTCGAACCCCTTCGATCTCGCCGCGGCCGGCATCTTGGCTAACGGCCCTCCCACAACCGACCAGGACATCCACCCCGACTTACATTCTTTGCCAGCCCAGTTTGCTATGGAGGCCCCGATGGGCGGTCATGGTGGCCCCGGCGGTATGTCCCGGACGGCCGAGGATCTCGCTTCCGAGAGCGGATACGGCCAGCTTGTCATCGACAGCGCCCTCGCCAAGCGGCTGGCCAATAACGAGGGCCAGCGCCTTGCGGTACAACGACGACAGGACCAGAGCCTCAACCTGAAGAGGAGGAGTAACGTTGAAGCCCTACTCGCCCATGTTTCCGGCCAGGAAGCCCACAGCCCGTGCAAGAGCTGTCACAAAGGATACGGTCCGTGGAACGGATGCGTGGTCGTCAGCGGCCAAATGTGCGGCAGCTGCGCTAACTGTTGGTTTAACGCAAGTGGTTCGCGTTGCTCTTTCCACGGTAAGCACATCGACAGAGAAGGAGGACAAAATAGACAGGCTCAGTAGGGCAATAAGGAAGTGATGGATGCTAATTGACTTGGTTACAGAAAACAACCTACCTCAGCACATGCCAGCTATCCAGCTCCAGCCGGTGCCACAGGTATCCGCCAACACAAGTTTCGCCGGCACAGCGCCGATGGCTCCCGGCATGGCCCCGGCAGGTCCTAGCAGCTTCGGACAGCCAGGTGCTGACCCTTCGGTCGCGCAGTTTGTGAAGGAAGTGCTCGACAGGGCGATGGCGGAGGCTCGGAGCAATGACCCTCATGTGCGCTTTCAGCTCCGAATCGAGACGGCAGCACGGCAGCTAGCGCTGGCTAGCGCCGAGTACGCCGAGTTTCTCGTCCAGCAGGGGGGCCACGACCCGAGTCAGCATCCACCTGAAGCGGAGGGTTCGGTGCCGGAGGCGGCGATGGGAGAGGGAGACAACGGGGCGTGAAAGGAGCGTCTCTAAGGCTTCCATTCTCTCCCATTCTTCACCACCTTTGTTCCTCATCTCCACAAGTTTCCTTTGCTTCTTCCCGGTCACCTGAAGTGTAAATGGCCCGATGATCCGACTCTTCGGATGGTTTGTTTGGTATACTGATTGGGAGCGGTCGAACTCACAGCTTGCTGTGGCTGCTGCCGAACCATTCGGGCCGTTAATTTCCTCAACGATTATGTGGGTGACAAAGCTTCCCAACCATCATCGTACCACTTTGCATTTGAGAGTAGGCAGACTTGAGGGTTTGACTTACTCGCTTGTGGCTGTCCCTCTCCAGGTAAACTTCCCTTGGCACCTGCACGGTACAAGACGACGCAGCTCTGTGCGAACACTTGGAGAGTAACCAACACGCTGGTGCGAGAACGACCCAATGACGGAATTAGGGGACAGGGACGCACACACAAGCTTGGGATCCCTTGCACAGTACCAAGCAAGCAGGCATATGGCCAGAAAAGAACCACAGCAACAGACATCATCATTTATTTGGTTTACCTCATACAACGCGCGCACACACAACACATATAGATTGATACCAAGATTTTTACCAAACAATATGTGTCTTTGGTCGTGCACTATTACCTGCCATACCTCGTGATTGAATTCTCGAATTGTTGACGGTCTGTTGTGTCCCCTTTGCTGTCTTAACTATTACCGCACTTCTCAGAACGGCGGCTTGTCTTCAAACTTGGTCTTAGTGATTAAGTAGACTAGGGTCTGGGTTGCTTTCTTCGATGCCTTTATTTAGGTCATCCGCAGCTTCACCTGGCGCACACGGACACTTTCACCGTGACCCCATCATGGGAATCAAGCCTTACCTGGCAGCATCCCGGTTGCTTCATTGCCAGCAACCCGTCGACTTGTCCGCTCACCTAAGCTGCCCCAGTCGCCTGACATTTTGGGGAAAAGCTGCCCGCCTAGCAGATCACCTATACATTATCCCTTGTCTGCGGGATGTCCTGGGCGATCGTATCTTTGTTCGGGTTTCTGCCCCGATATGGTGTAACAGGATCTCCAAGCCTTATCCTTCCTGGAGCAGCAGTTATTCATTCTGCTTTGACTAGGCTCAACTAGCCCTCTTTTGAACTTCTGACCAAAATCATAACGGCTTTATAGCGGGAATAGTGGGCGAGCGACGACAGGAATAGGCCATGTAACTTTTCTCTCGTCATTGTGAAGGCAAATCATCCCATGATGGGGGGAAGCAGCAAATGGGGGGCGAGGGAGAATAGAGACCCGGAGACCAAAATTCTCGGCCCTAGAAACTTTGTCTTTCCCCTCTCTTTCACGACGCAAGTGTCCCCGACGAGATGATCCTTGGCAAACATATTATTCGGCTCTGTCCTTCACCACCACCTCGTCTTCGGTGGCGACGGGACAACCCAAGGTCTAAGCTGAGCATCAAGTAGCAGTCACTGTGTGGCCGCTAGGACATGGGAGCCCAGTCCCGACGCGGGTGTGTGTGTGTGTGTGCGTGATCGGTCGGTCGGCGAAGGGTGTCTTAACGGGCCAACATGTACGGATAATCACTTTGAAACAGAGGATGCAACCCCACAAATTCCAACTCTATCTCTATTTTATTTTCGTACTCCCGCTCCTACACACATTTCTACGCAGTAAGTCGGGCTGCATCGCCGTTTAGTTTTTCGGCTCTAAGACTCTGCAATGATGGGTAAGAATGGTACGGGGCATGTGGGAGAGCAAGGGGCAAACAAGGACATGTCGTCGGTTGCGTTGATCCTCTTAAAGAATTCCCCGGCAATGTGGCTTCTAGGACCCTAAAAAGGGTTCCCACCCCGGGGTTCCGCATCTCATGAAATGAAAGGGGGCATTGAGGGATTGCGGTACATGCTACGCAACCAAACTTGGGCAAAAAAGCGTCATTAATATCCAACGAACGAAATAATCACACAAGAATCCCGCTCCTGGGGTCTTGGGGGGAGAAAAACCACCGCCATCCTGCGACATGTTTGAGAAATTCCCATCACCCACACCCACCCACATCGGCCGTTAAATCGACCACCAATTATGACCATCAGACGGGACGAAACGATCCCTACTAATTACAGCATGTCGCCGTGAGTTGGCAGTTTGGCGCAAACACACAAGCAACCAGATACACAACCCCGCGATCCCTGTCGACGATCATTCCAGTCTATTCCTCACCATGCTCCTTTGATCTCCTCACTTTCTGCATTCCCCATTCCCGGAGACGGAGAACAGCTGCGCCACCCCGAATTCCCCGCCGCCATCAACAAGCCTTGCCCTTATGCCGACCATATGTCGTTACCTTGTAAATGCAGACTCAACATGATGTGATTGAATGTATGTACGTACGTGCGTATGTGTCTGTGTAGCGTATGTGCGCACTCTTAAACCTTCATCTGGCCCCTTCCCAAACCCTCCCTCATCCACGTCTCCCCAAGCTTTCTTAATTCAGCACTTCAGACCAAATGCGGGCGCGGAGGAAAACAAAAGGACGAGAGCAGGACCCCTTTTGGAGGAAGCCGTTTGTTTTTGGCTCTCAACAACCACCTCGGAAGGCTACCCTGTCTTGCCTTGCCTTAAGTTAGGATACAGTGCGTAAGTTGCAGTAGCTCCAAAGTAGGGGGACGGAAGCGGCGCGGGACCAACGCCGCGAACGGTTGCAGAGTGGACATCAGAAAGTGCCGTCCGCACCGAATCTCGAAAAGACAGTCTTAGGGCTAGGCCAGTCTACAGTGAACTTCCTTGCTTAGTGGGCGGCGATCAGATGCGTCTGTATCGAAACTAGACTGAATTAGCAACCTGCCAATAGACATGTTCCAAAGAGGCTTCATGCTGGTGCTTGCACTGGTACTGCTCGGGATACCAACGATGGCTTCTTTCAGAATGAGATACAATACAAGTCGTATAATAGTGACATACATGCTCAACAACACAGGCAGAATGGAAACTAGAGGAAAAAGGAGACTTTCGTAATTAAACAAAATATTTAACCACCTTCCATCCGTCGAACTCTCTCAAATGCATTCAAGTTCATAGCTTCTTTTCCTCTTGCTATCCATCCGTCCGGGCATCTCATCCATCTCTGTCCGTCACTCACTCTCGCCGTCCGTGCAAGGTTAGGATCCTTTTCCCGCGGCGGACGCGTCTACTGCAGTCGCAACATCATGTTTGATACAGAGCCACCTCCTTAAGTTTCCCCCCTTGTTCCTGAACGCGGACCAACAAAGCAGAACCAAGAAAGCGTACCGCCTGATCTCTGAGGCAATGTACCGGGGATAGCCGAGGTGTGGGAAGAAAAAATACAGTCGCGTAAGCAAGGGAATCTGGGGAAACCGTCGGGTCGCCGTTTCGTCGTCGTCGGGAGGAGAGTTAATTTCATGAGCCAGCCTCCCACGACGCTCTCTGGCTTGGGTCATGCAATTAGAAGTAAAGGGTATTGTTGAAAAAAGCAAAAGTGGTTTGTTGTTTAAATCAGACCGCACAACCGCAGGTTCTCCTGGATGATGATGTCTGTTTGGCACGTTAGTGTTAAATCCTTTTTCTTTCTTTCTCTTTTTTCCACGCTTTGTGCTCGTGCCGTCGTGTTCTGGACTAGACTTACCATTCACTGCCGCCATGACAAAGCGGATTTGAGTCGTATCTGTCGCGCAGGTGAAATGCGTGTAGATTTGCTTCGTCTCATGCTGGTTCAAGCTGACAAATCGGTTCAGGATGTAGTCGCACGCCGCAGCGTAGTCATCGCCACCTTCGTAGTCGGGGAAGTAGTTCTTCATTGGGCTCACAGGGAGCTTCTCCTTGAAACGGTCGATCTTGTTGAGGAAGAGAATAATAGATGTCTTGATGAACCATCTCGAGTTGCAGATGGAGTCGAACAGAGTCAGGGCTTCTTGCATACGGTTGACTGTCTCATCCTCGAACAGAAGCTGGTCGTACTCGGAAATGGCGACAAGGAAGAGAATGGTGGTGACATTCTCAAAGCAGTGGATCCACTTCTTTCGCTCCGATCGCTGACCACCCACATCGAACATTCTGTACGTCAGGTCGCCAATGATGAATGTGGTTTCCGTAATACCGGTTGTCTTGACACGCGATCGCAGGACATCCTGGTCGTTGGGCATGTAGTCAGGGGCGGCGATACGCGCAATGTTATCGAAATAGCTGTGTGTGTCAGTAACCGACATTCATCAAGTGAGAAGTATAACTTACTATCTCGCAGAGTCGTTGAGTTGATATTCGCGAGATCGCTTGAAGCACTCTTGCACGCCACGGTCCTTCCACAAAGCCTCGATGGCGCTTCCAACCTCCGGAGGCAGAACATCGCCTTCAATCTGAGCGGGTTGCATGAAAATGGTCTGGACGTGATACTCCATCCGCTGGTCTTCGAGCGGCAGCTCGAGAGACTCCATGGCCTCAAGAATAACGCGCATCGATTGCACCGTGTTGCTGAAGATGATTTCCTTGAAGGATTCCCGCTCATCGCGCGAGTAGCCACCCTCGTGAATCAGCTTCATCTGCTTCAAGATCGTCGACTTTCCGGATTCACCAGCACCTAAGAGGCATATTAGAATCACATAACAGCGGAATCGTCACAAAATGCCACCGTTTCATGGGAGGTTGGCGATGGGAAGCGGCGTCAACAGTTGGGATGTCGGCTTACCCAGAAGAAGCATCTTGATCTCGTTGCGTTGCATCATCTTGTCCCTCTTCAGCTGGTTTTCGATCTCCTCGTTACGGGCCTTGCCCTCCTTGTCCTCCGTGCTCATTCCACAACCCATTTTGGCGGTTATGTGTCGTTCAGACCGACGGCAAATAGAAAAGAATTGACGGGATTAAAGTGATTGGGGGATCCTGATCGAATCGTATTGTTGCGTTGAAGGGGGCCTGGAAAATTACCACTTGTTAGCCGACCATGTCGCGAGTGGGCGTAATGCCGGCGGCGGACGAAAGAGAGAGCGAGAGTAATGGGCAAC